CTGGCATCTGCAAGTATTGCCTCTCCATCCGCCGGATCCTTCACATAAGGAGCTCGTACACAATAAGTCGAGGGAGCTATTCTTTCAAAGAGTTTCACATCTCTTGTCAATGCAACAGAGATAGATGCCTCTGGTGTCTTGCTTGTTGTCAGGTCCCGAAGTCCGGATTTCTTTCAATGCAAACCATAAAAACTAATGTAAAAGATATGAATTACGATGAAAATTGCAGAACAAATATAGACTATCGATTTACCTGAATCTTGTCAGCAAGATCCAATACTGTCAGTCCCTTGTTCCCCTCAAGAGATAAAACATGAAAGGCTGCAAATTTGACAGTTCCAGGTGTCAACCGGTGCCTCGATTTGCGTGGAGCCAGTAACCCTTTCTCCCGCATTAATGCAAAAGCACTTTCAGCTGCTGAACCACTTCGGATAGTAGAAATGATATCTTCACAACCTTTAGCCTGCATACACAGCCAACCAAAACAGTGTCATAATTAAATGAAAACCATCTTTATGTCAAAGTCTGGCTTAGCACCCATGATTTCATTTTTGGTTTTCATATATAGTACTAACATTACATCTCATATATAATACTAGCATTACATCCTAAGCAAAAAAAAAATTTGATTTAGGGGGCACACAAACACGAATGACTACCTCATCTTTGTCACCAATATGGGTCAATCGGGAATTTTTTTTCTTCAGCCTAGGCCCAAATCCAGCAGAGAGTGAAAATTGCCGCAATATTTCAGGCCATGTTAGTGGGTTCAAATTCTTTTTCCAACTACGAATGTCAAAGCCCCATGCATAAGCCTGAAGGAGAAAGAAGCACATGTAAGATGAAGCCCAGTGAACCAAACCAGAAAGAGTAAAGGATATTAACACACAGAGGCGGAGAAAGTTACCCCTTCAACTATTTGTGGATGCCCACCCTCAGGATTGGCTGTAGTATATTGGTTATTTCCAATTCCACTAAAGGGTGTTCGAGCAACATCTTCAATATCTCGTATTATTGATCTCAGAAGAGTAATATGTATCTCCCCCAGCAACCTTGAGTCCTACAATAGGATCTATATCATATACAATGCAAGAACAATGAAATGAAAGACACAACTATTACACACAAGAAAACAGAGAAATCTCAGAATGAGTACCAAACAGAGACTTACATAGTCATGAAAAGCCTGAATAAACTCATCCAGTGTAAAAGGCCATAGGTCAAAAACATCAGAAAATGATGTCAGAAATCTCCAAACCTGAAAAGCAACCACGTATAGAAATGTGAAACGAGCAAAAGTTAAATGCAAAGAAAAAAAAAAAAAAAAAAAAAAAGAAAAAATCCAACTGATTACACATTGATAATACTAATTTCAAATGAAGTGTAGCAGACAGGTGGGGGTAAAGATCAATAGAGCATACCATTAGAAGGTTTCCAACACTTTCATCAGAATCTTTCCATGGAGAAATGGCAAATGGCATTTTTAGTTGCAAACCCTTTGGTGGAAATGTGCTCAGAGAATCTGAAGAAATAGAATAGCTATGATGAGCAAGATCTAGAAACAAATTACAACACTATAATAAAGCTAAGCCAATCGAAAGCAAATTACTTTGACTGTCTTGATTTTGATAAGTATATGACGGAGATAGATTTGTCAGAGAAAGCAAATAAAAAAACTACTACTCAATCTAGCAAGCAATGTGTTTACAGAAATATAATCAACTGAAACTAATAATGAGCTCCAGCAATTAGCAGTGTTCTGACATACTACATGAATATGGAATATTTCAGACAATGCCATAGAATGTACCAAACTAAAAACGTAAAATTAAATACTAAGCTTAAAAATTCAGAGAAGAACAACACTAGAATAAATTACCAGATAATTGGAAAGCTACAAATCGCTCATTTATTGTAAAACCTACAATCTAAGTAGACCGTTGACGGTCATAACTACCAAATCCACTATTAGCTAAATCAGTTTCACGGTTTGGCAGAAAGACCATACCTCTATACAGTTCAAGATTTTGCAATGTGTCATGATCAAGCTGTAATACCGAGGGCAATCCTTTGCTAATAGCAGCCAATTCCATCAGTTCTAACTGCTCATCTTCAACTAGATCCATAGACTCCTTGGCAATTCTACGTGCGGTTGCCTTCTCAATGGCAATCTTGCGTCTAATAGCGTCTTTCTCACGACGAATCTCTTCTTTTTGCTTCTTTTTCTCTGCCTTTAACATGTCAACAAAAAGATAATTCTCATTTCCCTAACTAGTGCCCCAAAGGTTGCTCAATCTCAGCAGGATTAATAAAAAATACTAAAGAACAACAACTGGGAATAGTTTTTCAAATTTACCCTTTCATTTTCTCTCTGTAAGAACTTTTCTCTTCTTTCCATTTCACGTCGCTGCTCACGCTGTAACCTCTCCTCTTCTTTTATTCTTTCACGCATCAACCTCTCTTCTTCCTTACGCCTCTCACGCTCGTTCCTTTCCATCTCTTTTCTCATGCGTTCTTCATTCTGAGGACACAAGCATCAACTCGTCAATATATGTTGTAGTGATTCTAATAAAATCCAATAAGATATTTTCTAATAATCAGTAAGAAGTATGATGTATGAAGAGAAATACTTTTTTCCTCTGAATTTCTAGTTTCTCGAGATCTTTTGGTCCACGATTCTCTCGGGTTTCACTCCCTCTTCCAAGTTTACCATCGTGAATCTGTGAGAGTAAACATGGGATGATGGCATTACAACAAAACACATCGCGTAAACAAAAACAGATGAAATAAAAGTTGGCACAGGAAGTTACCTTTCCCTTCCTATGCACATCATTACTCTTACGCACGTCAGGCAACAAATATGGATCTTCTGTGCCAAGGACTGATGAGTCTTTCTCCATCAGATATCTATCCCCACGATGATGAGCTGATGCAACAATGGGGCTTGGCATGTCTTGTTGTGATGTAGAACAGTTACGAGACGCATGTCCAGGAGTACCATAGGATCTTGGTAAAGACCCATTCTCGTGCATAAAGGATGAACTCCTAGAACGTGCAATATCATAGTCCATACCATGTGCATGATTTTCAGAGTATCGTCCATACATCTCAGGTGTAAAGGAAGACGGATCATCCAGAGATTGTTGCTCATGGAAAGAACGGGCAGCAGCTTGAGACTATAATCAACAAAAGCAAATTAGTTCAGCAAAGTAGTAAAATGAAAATATTATAAAAGGTAGAATCTAAACAGCAATGCGGAGTTCATCTTTCTAACAATGATCAGAGACTAAGAACTCCCATAAGACTAATCTGTCAGCCTTTGTGCAATGAGAATTCTAAAAACTACTCCTACCATAAAATTCATACACCAACAATTTATGTTAACCTCTTCAATTGGTCAATTTGAGATGGGACTACTATAATTTATCATGTAAGGGATTTCAACTGATAGAATCAACAACAGGAAACGCCTAAGCTAGGAGAGCAATTTATAAGTAATTTCTCAAAGCGGCATGAAGTAACAGACATGTTGCATTTAAAATTTCATTGTAACTCGGCAGCATTGCATTGTCTGATTTAATTTCAAGTTGTTTCCATCAACATAGATATAGGAGGCACAATATAACTCAGAACAAAGAAATTAAATAGAGCATATATATGTTTAGTCAGAAAACTAACTCTTCGAGGCCGGACATCATGTGGTTCATACATTTTGCTGTCATATGGAAGAAGTAGGTGCTTCTGCATCGCTACAATGACAAAACGAGAAGTTAGAGAACAAAGTAACAGTGAGACTGAGACTGACATTAAGCATGTCACTAGTTGTAATTGGCAAATAATACTCAAGTAACACCAAATCACAAATACAAGACATAAAACAAGGCAAACATAGAAAGTAATGTATACCTATAGGTGTTCCGAAAGCGCCAGGGGGCAACGGATCAAAGTCCATGCCAAGAATAGGTCCATCATCTCTCAAAGGCTCCCCTAACTGAGCCTCAATGTAGAGAATAGCTCTACGGACCATAGCCGACAAGCGTGGCTCATAGCTCGGGTTCCCCATTGTCTCATATTCATCCAATTCAGCTCGAGAACTACTACTACCACTGGCAAAATTCCTCCTAGAGTCGGAATAAGGACTGTTACCTGAACCAGAATCGGAACCAGATCCGGAATCCTGTTCAGGAACCGATCTAGCAGAGGGTAAATCGTGAACCGAAGAGGCCAAAGCAGCCGGTTGAACCGAGACGGCTGGTTTCACGGGTTTCTTGGCCTGACCATCCTTCTTGTCCTTGAGGCGTCTATGGCAAAACCACATCTGCAACTGTCGATCTGTCAAATTCAACTTGTCAGACAAATCAGCCCTCGTCGCCTCCGAAGGATACGTCTCCTCTGAATCAAAAAATCAACAACAAGTCACATCAACAACACCACTAAAGAGGAAAACGAAGAAGAAGAAGATTATGAATCAAAATTGATGAAGGAACCTGAATAAACTTTCTCCAAGGTCTCAAGCTGAAACGGAGTCTTCATCTGACGCTTAGGCTTGAGAGAGGAGGAGGAGGAATTATCAATCTTGTTCTTCTTCTTATTATTGCTACCACCAACAACAACATCAGCAGCAACAACAAGGCTCCTGATCTGATCTTCTTCTCCATCGGAACCCATCTCCATGTGAAAGAGGTACGAAACCCAGAAACGGCCGCAAGGATCCCCACACAAAACACAAAACACACAAAAACAAAAACAAAAAAACTAGGGCTTTCTACAAAACAAACCCTTTTGATCCCCAAATTATAATTGTCGAGAAAAACGTAAAAAGAATATATTAGTAAGAAGAAGAAGAAGAAGAACAATAATAATAGTAAAATCGATAAAAACCAAAAAGGAAGAAAAACAACAGGGCTCGTACCACTCATCTCAATTTCAACCTCCTTCATATTCTTTTTTTTTTTTCTTTATCTCCTAATTAAAATCTTGTTGTTTCTCTTATTATTATTAAAAAAAAAAACGATTTTTTTTCGTAAGAGAAAAGGAAAAAAAAATCGAAACTTGAGGGATTCATTCTACAGCGAATCGCGTGCTTATGTGTGTTTCTGCCGTTGATGTGTTTATCAAAGCATCAAATCTTCTCTCCTTACACTTTCCATCCTTTTTTTTTTCTTTTTTTTTTTTAATGTATTTGGATTTGATTAAACTAATTAATACAAGTCGTCTTCGAAGGCTTATTTGTGTTTAAATACGAGAGAGCTTTGGTCTCTTTTTGTTTTTTTGTTTGTCGTTCAGATCAGATCCGCAGGTTGCTTCATTATAATCCAGTTTCTTGAGGAACCCCACTTGTGTTTACAATAAACGTCTTGCCGTTTACTGTTTTTGTGTCTACGTTTCCTGTCGTTTTGGATTAGTACTTTTAATCACATTAAACCGGTTCATTCCTGATTTTTCCAATCCCGGTTCATTCTTCGTCCCTGAATTGGAAAGAGCACGATTCGAGTTATGAGACCTTTGACTCAAAATCTCGCTGAAGAAGAAGAGATACTGTAGATAAATTTGTGCTCTCATTTTCCGGCGCCGGGAACGTCGGAACTCCGGTGAATAGATAATGGGGTTGCATTTGGCTGCTCTGTTTCTCGCCATCATCGTTTCACCCCTCTGTGTTTACTCATCTGAAATCCAGAAGATCAGTTCTAATCAGAACTTGGTGAATGATCTGGACGCAGCTAAGCTCAGAATATCTCAATTGGGTAATAAAGTTTAGCTCTTTTGGTTCGTGGTGGTTTATGGGTTTAACAACAAAATCATCTCTTTTTCATGTGTGTGCTGATTGTATTGTTTTGGCTCTGATCGTGTAGAAGCTGTTCTTGAGGCAACCATAAAGAAGGTGGATGGTAAGACCCTTTACTTGAAAGATCGTGATAAGTTGATCCAAGATGCTGAAAGTCAGATCCAAAGTTTGCAGTCTGCTTCATACAGTGACGAGGTTCGTTTGGTTCTCTATGGAAAATGTATTGGGAATTCAACGGATGCAAGTTTAGAAATTAGCTAGAAGGGCATTAGAGAGTAACTCCAGTGATTATGTAATGAATGTGGTAGGACAATCATTATATCATCTGTTCTGCCTCTGAGGCTACTGAGCTTTATCATCATATTTTGTAGTTGTAGCTGCCACACCTCTTTGATACAATATGTTTTAGTGTTGTTGATAAGAAAACATTTCTGGTTGTATGTTAAGTACTCTCTTCTCGGTTTATGTTAATCATTGTATATACCCGTAGAAGCATAGCCAAGGTTTTTTTTATGTTAGTGTTCTTATATAGGTCTTTGTTTTTGTTTGGAATCTTGTGCTATACTAAATCATGATAGTCGCATTGCTGACATTTAGGCTGACACTTACTACTTGATCTCAGAGCGGGTTAACTTTAGTCCAGAAAAGGATAAGCGAGCTGGAAGAAGAGGTCCGTTCAGCTATGTTGCTATTATATTCCTCATCATATTTATATTTGTATTATGTATCATATGCGTTCTACCATGGCTGGAGCTACTTTTTCTTCAACTCCACTAATCTAAAGAACAGGGTTGGCAATGCTAGGTTAAAAAGCTATGGGATGCCTTGAGAACAACCAACTTCGAGCTTCACGTTTTAGAGGATAAAGCAAGAGATGCAGAGGGTAAAGTTAAAGCTAAAGCTTTGGAAGTTGAACAGGTGGTTATTGGCTGGTTTAAACCCATTCCTTTAATTTTCTATCCAAAACACAAATGTGAACGATTCTTTGTAGATCAGAATCATCTCATAGTTCACTTCATACAATGTCTTCTACAAAAGTTCTGATTTATTCTTTCATATCTATTCTTTAAACTTTAAATGTCACTTAAGTATGTTTGGATCCTCGGGGAAACAAACATATATTGGCGTAGGTATTTAAGCATCTGATTTTCTATGTCACTTAAATGATTATGTGTAGTAACTAATCATCCTACTTCTGTCTGTTTCTGATGTGTTTTGTATGTAAATGAGTTTTCAGATTTTTGTTGTCACCAAATTCTTCAAGTGCATGGGGTTCTGACCTACTTTCTTAATCATTTTAGATGGTAGAAGTTGTTACGGAGCAGTGGATTCAGGTTCAGCATCTTGAGCAGGTCTTTAGTTTTAGCATACAAGTGTGTCATTTGATGTAGTTGAATCTCGTGAGTTGTGATCAAGTTGGATCGCTGATTATGTTTTTTTCTGTCCCTATTGCATCTTGAAGATGAGAGAATTTAACAACAGAAGGCATCACACACCTAGCAGATGCACCTTCTTGAAGGTAAAATCCAAATCCAGCTGTCGAACTTGCAGAGATATGATATCTGAGGCGTAAACTGGGGTTTAATCATCTCATAGCCTCGCATGTAATCTTTTTGTATCTGTATTTAGCTCATGAACGACATCCAAAGACATCTGCCCAAATTTCATGAGTCACTTGACATTCACTGGAAGGGAAAGAAGGTTTTCTCTGTGCAATCATATCTCACACAAGCACAGTCACGGTTAAAAAACCTTTGGGAAGCTATTACCAAATATCACCACCAGGTTTTGTTTCAAATAATTTCATTTCACCCTCTCCATTATATAAGATTGAATGATTCTGTAACCTCGCTTTGCTTTGATTCCTTATAGTTACAAGGCTTCATCAAGTATGAGATGGAGAAAACTGAGATCACAGCAGCGCTTGCAAACAGAGAAGTAGTGTTTTTCATGGTATGTTAGTCCATATTTTCAGATCTGGTAAAATGGTTAAATCGATGTTTGTTTTGAATGATCATTAAATCAAATATGTAAAATGAAATCTCCAGGCATCTGCAGTGATCACCTTCCCGGTGTTTGGAGCTTGGATCTTACTCTCTTCCTAGGTTGATTTCTGGAATGACATGATCAACCGATGCATCAGTTTCTTATGGCTCAAAACATTGTCTAGTTTTTTTAAAAAGCGTTGAGGTGGTTCCTTGCGATCAATTGCATCCATGAGCAAACCGGTTAATATCTAGTTAAAACCAGTTATTACGGGGTAAGATGCACAGTTGGTGTATCCAAGATTAGTTTTTGGGAGTAAAAAAGCGTTGGGTTTTGTTATTGAAGAAGAGACAAAACCAAAGAGATACAGACAAAGTCAGTTCGTAGTTAAACGTTAGTTGTAACTTGCAAGTAGCGGTAGCCTAGCCTTACTGTCCCGTAGGGTTTGGTGTGTTTTGGTTTAACCGAAAACAAAAAAAAAAAGAAAGACAACATCACATTGACAAAATCTGCGGGAATTAGTAATGAAATTTTGTTTTTTATGCGAGACCACATTATCTTTGGATAATGAAGATACTCTCTTACACATTCTCTGCAAGACATTGCGAAATTCTATTTGTTCAATAGATCGATCATTCATATCCTCATTCATAGTGTGAAACTATTACCTATTTTTCAATCAGAAGTTAGCCAATAGTTTGATATGATGATAGGTTTGAGTTTAGCTTTTGTTTTTAAAAATAAAAATGAATGTGTAACTTAACTAGTTAAGCTATTTATAACTTTAGCCATAGTTTGATATGATGATAGGTTTGAGTTTAGCTTTTGGTTTTGAACCAAAAAAATGAAATACTAATTTAACTAGTTAATCGTTTATAACTAAAAAGATTAAGATTGTTGCTGCAAATGCAAAGGTCCTACAAGGTTCTACTTACGACTCCAACAACACGACCTCTTTCGTTGTCCCATTTCCGCTAGTCACGCCACAAAATCTCCACCCAACACTTTCGAGTCTTTGATTGATTATTGCATTACTCTTTGTATATTTTTTTTCTTTCTTTTTTTTTTTTTTGGTCAAACCATAAGTAAAATCTTCTACTTTGTTTTTAGTTTTTTACCACTTTTATTGAATAGTTTACTTTGATTTTCATTGTATCCTAACCTTCTCTTATTTATGTAATAGTAAAACTGTAAAAGAAATTACAGACACTTTAGTTTCGTTTATATTCCTTTTTAGCTTTTATTATGTTAAATAATGATCCTTTTTAGCTTTTTTGAATGGTTGGAGTGCTTGCTCTTTAATACTTATATATGATATGTCTCATCGTCTGAAAACGAGAAAATACCTACTACTACTACTACTCTCTCATACCCACACCCCGCAAATTACTCATTGTTGCTTTGAAATTATTACTTTGACATTTATCTTTCGGTTGACAATTTATTTGTTTACTACTTTTCTTTATAAATCCTAGAATTTCATGCTACGAAAATAACTAATAATCTAGATACAAAATTTGATATTTTTATAAAAATTTTAAGTGCATATATTAGAAGTTAGAGGTACCGTATCTTTGAATGATGGAAAAAATATACTATCAACGAAGAAAATATAGAGCCACGAAATATTTTTGTCATAGACAATACTAGAGACTAGAGAGAGTAGTGGCCATTAGGGGTCACATGATATGTGTATTGGTGTCTCCAATCTCCATAGTGATCAGTGGGATTGGAGCAATCCCCACTAGACTCCTCCCTCAATTCTCGCATTATTACTCGCCTCTCAGTTTCTCCCCTCTCTCTTTTTATTATCCTATTTTCTTTCTCCTTTTTTGTACAAAGTGAAATCGTGTATCACACCACAGACAGTGACGACCAAGTTCTTTTAGTTAACAAAGAAAAAAAGGTTTTTTTTTTTCTTGGCAAAACTATGATATGTACGTAATCAATATTTCGGTGGTTCATGTTTTTTTATGGCCATCCACCCTGACTTATTGTGTTAACTGTTAAGTTGTACTATAAGAATAAGACTGACAGTTAAAAAAAAAAAAAAAAAGACAGATAAAAAACAGGTATAACTAACCTTATAATTAGGTAAATGATCCTACTCTATTGATTACAATTTCAACCTCAAATTATAATAATAATAAAATCAGCTTGAATTTAACAATAACATGTTATTTTAATCAATTGAACGCAATGTATAGGAAAATACTCGCTTAAATACATTTTTTAATGATACACACTTGTTATTTCGTTCGATAGTACAATATTTTCCAGATATAATGTTTTCGTAACTATAATTTCTCACTGGTGTTTTGAAAATTGTTAACTTGTAACTCTTTCAGCAGTGGGTTAATTTGTAATAACTGTTTTTTTCTCTTAAGTTTAAGCTAACATTGTATACAGCAGTTTATGCCCAATTGACACTCCTACCAGATCCCACTAATGAAACTGATACAAAACTTTATCATTCCAATGATTCAACAATTACAAAACTCAAGTCTAATAAACTACTGTTCTTTTATTTTATTCTCCGAATAATTGTTTCCGTAAAGTTTTCAATGAAAATTAATTGTCTTGTCAGTTTTGCAACTCACAATTTGCCTTTGAACAGTTCAAATTGATTAATATAGATATTGGAGCAGCAATGGTCTTCCTTCAGCATTTGGATAACAGATTCACACAGTATCTTCAAATGCTAATGTTGATCGGACCAGATGCCCACATATATACATTATTCATGTTTGCTCGTAGCATAAAGCAAGAATGATTACGAGTAGTACATGATGATAAAGATTACTGGTGCATTTCAAATCAGCTTTATATATAAATGTGGTTTTGTCTGACCATCCGATATATAATCAAATATAAGTTTGCTTGAAGATCGGGAAAGTTGGAGACATAAACTATAAAGTGTTTTTTACATAAGAAAAGCATCTCGAGGCTAATTCAATTATCAACTCGACACTGTTATGTCGATTTTTTTAGGGGCCAAATTATGAAGAATGATGTTTTATAAACAACACAAACAAAATTCTAGCTACTCCATGTTTTTCACGAAATACTGACAAAAAAATGTATGCATGTTTTATCATTTACGACTATGATTTAGAAACTATACACGCTTCAGTATTAACCATGTGGACTGCTCTAGTGCAATGAGTCTGATGCAATGATCTATCATAGAAATTGCAGCAACTTATAAACTTTGACTATTAATTTATGTGTTTATGTTAGATGCATTACATTTTCAACATTTTTTCTGTTGAATTTTGTTCTGACCCATGTTTTATAAATATTGTTTTGATTAATTATTATTTTCTATACGAGTTTTCAAAAAACCATCTCGATAATGCACTTAGTAGTTTTTAACGAAACGAGAAGATGGTATATATGAAAAGACGGTATCGTAAAAGATCGAATAAAAAATATTAATTTAAATATATAATGATAATATTTTACGATTTAAATAACAAACAAAATATAACTTTGGATCTTTCTTGAATATGCTAACAATATGAAAACCTTTAATGATAGGACTTGAATACTAACTCCTAGGCAACAATGACAGTATGACAACATGAACAAAGGGAGAAAAGAACCAAAAACAAAAGCCTCCCCCTATCTATTCCTAGTCCATATCTGTTTTCAACAAAACTACGAAATACGATCCATATGTTCTCATCTTAACTTAAACTAAACTAGTCGATAAGTGTTGTTTGTCAAAGTTAACAAACCAAATGGTTAATTAACCTTTTTCTGATAAACTAATCTTATAGGCAAGAAAGCTGAGCTACCTCTTTGAAAAATCATCTCATCCTTAAGGACCCACCAATCAACCATTATCACCTATCCAGTCCCCATTTCCACCTAACGACTTCAAATTAAAACACACACACACACACAAAAAGTCCACAATTCCTAAAGAAAAAAGTGTAAAAGAACAAAGAAAAAAAAAGGCTTCAGTGCTTAGAATCTTTCAATATATATAAGCTCACACATTAGCTCTCAATAAACCCACAATATCTAATTGTCCCTTCTCTTCTCTCTATCACACACTACTATCACATTATGGCTTGCTCCACTAGAAGCTCCCTCTTCTTCTTCTTCACTACACTTATTCTTCTCTCCACTCAAATCCACGCAAGAGATAGCTACTTCTTTGGGAAGTTCCACAGAGACTCTCCCAAAGACCAAAACCCTAACAATGTTCTCCCTCTCGAGACAAGCGAGAAAACAACGGTAGATGAATCCATCCCCAACAAGAAAGAGCAAGAACAAGATCCTACCTTTGTCTCCGAGTCCGGGAACGGCTATGGCTTGTATGGTCACGAGAGTACTACCTACAACGACAACAAAGAAGAGTTCAACAGCAACAACAAGTACGACGACAAAGTCAACGGCGAGACTTTCTCCACTCCAAGCCTGAGCGAGACTGAGGAGTCTTTCAACAACTATGACGAAAAGTACCCCAAGAAGACAGAGAGCTACGGCAGTAACGGTTACAGCAACGAAGAGTTCAACAACAATAACAAGTACGATGCAAACTTCAAGGAAGAGTTCAACACCAACAACAACTACGATGAAAACCCCAAGGAAGAGTTCAACAACAAGTACGCCAAGGAAGAGTTCAACAACAACAACAACAACTACAAGTACGATGAAGACGTCAAGGAAGAGCCTTTCTCTCAGAACAATGGAGACAACAAGGGAAGCCTCTACAACTCCAACGCTTACGGGACAGAGCTAGAACGTGAAACGCCGTACAAAGGTTACAGCCACAATTTGGAGAGACAAGGCATGAGTGACACAAGGTTCATGGAGAAAGGTAGCTACTACTACGACCTTTACAACGACAGAAACCACGGCCATCACTACAGGAAGTCTCACAGCAAAAGCCCCGCCGGTTTCTATTCATCTCCGACGACAGAGACTAACTACGACCAGCAATCGTATTCGTACGGAAACAACAACAACAACAACAACGGGGAGAATAGCTTTAAGGATCCATACAACTCCAAGTGGGAGAACGAACAGCCTGAAGAGTTTGTTGAGGAGCAAGGCACAAATCAGTTCAAGCCTTGATGAAGATTGTTATTTGATTTCATCTCAAGACTACTCTACACTCTTCATTAAAATCACTTTCTTTTTATTTTCAACTAAGTTATATTACTACTACTTATCGTTGTTTAGTCAAACTAAATCGTTGTTATCATTGCAACAAATTTAAAAAGTGAAAGGGGTTTGTGTTTTTTTTTTTTTTTTTAAAGTTGAGGTGGGTTTGCTTTTTTATGGGGTTTTGAACTTCGATGTTTGCGTTTTGCATATATTATTCGATGAAAAGAAAGATAGTTTATATATTACTTACTTTATGTTATTATTCTCTTATGTTAATTCAATCACTTTTTTGGTAATTTTGTTTATTAGAAAAAAACAATGTAGCTAATTAAAAAGACTGTATGGATCTCTCCATTATTAAAATGGGACCAAACGTGACTGCTTATAATGATTTATAATGGGGGACATGAAGATGCCTCTTCCTCCTTGCGTAAGTGCAAAAGAGATAAAAGTAATAATTACTTGCACAACCAATTTTTTTTTAATTTTCCATGGATCTAGAAAAACATATACTCCACTACATAATTGTCGACGAGGCCACAAAAAACCTTTGAGAAGATGTGTCTTAATGTTAGTTGGGTACGTACATCAACAGTTGCCACACTCGTATTACTATTAGTTCTTCTAGGTTCCTAATCAAGTTGTCAACCCATTAAAAGCCTTTTGTAACCTTCAATCACGTTTCTTGATTTCTTGACATATAGTTCAAGAAATGTATTCTTTTGTACAATAAGAATATATATACTCTCAAATTAGTGTAATGGGTAACATATGGGCGGCAAAGACCAAGAGAAACGCCGGGACAAGTAAAAGACAAGGACAGTTCCAAAGGCACTGATGAGCAATAAGAATCCACTCTCTCGACTCTCTCGAGTCTTTTACGAAGAAAAGAAGAGTGTGTCCCTAATTCCGATAATCACGGCCAACATAAAGCACAAATTAAAACCCCTTTTTTTCCTTTTCTGGATTTATTAACTTTTTCCTAAAAGAAATTAAATTATTAAATAGAAAATATTACCACCATGCAAAAAAAAATATATTTATTTTGATCAAATTTTTTTTAACTAAATAGTAAAATTATTGTGTTAATTTGTGAAATCATATGCTAAACCAACAGTGACCATGTTTTTAATAACCGATTGACACGTGTCACATATCCGCAGCAAACTAACAGTTTCACCAAGCTTTCCTGTATGCGCAGCTGCATCAGATCCGCACCTTAAACAAAAACCCCTACGCAAAAGCCCTAAATCTCTTTCTCTCCTCTCCGTAAGGAAAAAAAAAGCCAAATCGAAAGATCCTAAGTACTTCAATGTCCGCCGCAAGGTCAGTCTTCCGCTCCGCCGCGAGCCGAGCAACCGCCGCCGCGTCTAGGTTCTCCACCGGACCCAAGCCTATGCCGTCATCGGCACGGTCCGCGTTTCGGATGCCTAAACAGAGCCCTCTTTCAAACCGCATTTTCAGGTAAAAAAAATTCTTAACCCAGAGAGCAACTGGTTTGATCTCAAAGTCTCGTTCCATAAGCAATTCTGAATTCATTGTTTTGGGATTTTTATTTGGAATGAAAGATCTCCGGTAGAGCTGAGCTGTTGCGTGGAGACCATGCTCCCGTACCACACTGCCACTGCTTCTGCTTTGCTCAATTCGATGCTCTCAGCTTCACGCCGTGGTTGGATCGTTGAAGGTAACACACTCTGTTCTTATTGCGATTCCTCTATCGTCCATTTTGTTTCTCCGATGATTGAAATGCACCAACTAAGCTTTATTCAAAAATGCCACTTTTGTTTTAGTCTAAACTTCTAAATGAATGTTTTCTAGTGGAGAGATTGGTGAAAGGAAAGCTATTGTTGAAGTGTAAAATCATTTTAGAACAATTCACTGGATTATTCAGTTTGTTGCATAATAGTGGTAATGATCCACTGGTCATATGTTGGTTCTCATGTATCAATCATATACTTTTGGATTTGCTTTGCCCATGTACCGGTTGTTGTAGATTAGATAAAACAAGGTCCTGGTTGTTGTTGTGGGTTAGGTTTAGAGCTGTTATGTTAGACATAAGAAGTTATGGATCATGGATTCTTTTGGTTCTACATTTCTCTGGCACCTCTGAGTTTTATTTCTGTGTGCATTTTTTGATGAGTGGCTAGTTTTTCTTTTGTTTTTTAACAAAAGTTTGATGATCTTAAGTTTTTTTTGCGATTATACTTTCCTTATGTCTGGATTTGTCCCAGTATTAATATCTCAAGTTTATGCCCTTGAGATTTTGGTGTTCCTAGGATCAAAAGTTTATTTTTTTACAAATCTTTTTCGTATCCAATGTTTCCCTTGAATACTCTACTCTTGAATAGTTTGGATAGTAAATATCAATAACCCTTAGCAGAGTCTGTCTTGTGGCATCTTTTCTACATATCTTTACCCAATTATCCATACTGAAAAAAAAACAATTTCTTTTTCCTCCTATGTAGGGCTAGACGAGACTAGATGAAAGATCCATCAACAAGAGTGATGTGAGTCAATTTATTATCCTCTGGTCCTGAGTTAGGTTTTTACTTGATTTGCCATCATTGTTATAGTTTTTTTTCGTAAAGGGGGCTTCATAAGGGAGAAAGTTTGCAAAAAAGGGTCAGTTGTGGTTGATTATGTGTAATAGACATAGTTGTTAATGTAATTGAATGTGATTGGAATATTGGCATGCTATTATATTTTCTTTCTCTGAACCTTTGGGACTAGAAAACCTGCCATCAGCATCACACTGATACAAATTGTATTCACTCAGATTGCAATGATGATGTATGATGAATTACTGGGGAGTGGTCAGCAATGCATGCAGTCTAAGACAAGGTGGTGGTGTAATGAAGCTTTTGTATTTGTTTCTTGAACTTGTTTTTAGTTTCTTGTCTTAGCGGTTTATTAGAGAGAAACCATTAGAAGTGATAATAACCGAGTCACATCTCTTAGGTCACAAGGTTTAAGTTTTGTTCTGTTTTACCTTTGATAAGTGGTGTCAGAAAAATTCTAATGGAGTGTTTGTATTCTGTTGTTGTAGATGGATGACACTTCTTCTGACCATTGCAGTAACCAGGAAGATTTGTTTAAGAGTTGTTAGAACACTTGTGTTGATTCTTAAACCCAAAGGAGGTGGTTTCCTGCAAATGTTTTCTACTATTTTATTTACTTTATAAAATGTCCAAGTGAGATTTTTTGAATCAATAGGTTCAGTTCTTACATGGCATTGCCTTCTATTGTAGGTCTCCCTAGTTTGTATGCAACTGAAGTTATTTCTCTTGAAACTGCAGAGACAATGTTAAAATATGAAATAAAACAACAGAGCTAGATTTTGATTAAACTTAATATTCTCACAGTCTATAAATCATATACTAGAAATAAAATTAGAAGAAGAAAGAAATGAAATGAAAAGAACAAGACAACTAAGCAGGCAGAAGTCAAAGGCTAAAAACATCACATGTGACGAACGTAGAGTCTACACGGTCGTTGTAATTGCTGAATTTAGTTAACATTTTGATTCCTTTGATTTCCGTGAACTCGGAAACGAACGATAAATAAACTTGGAAATAGAAAAGATCGTGTAGAGTTTCCAAGATGGAAGCAAGATCTACATAAATCATAGTTTCAATGTTTTGTGGGGTGTAATTGTGTGCACAAAATCCTAAATTCTCATCCTTATTCCTGCTTGGTACGTTGGTCCCATCCCAAAGAGGCTCTAGATTCTACAGCTATAACCAAAGACATTTTCGTATGAGACAAAATATAGATTACGGTCATCTCTCTAACTATACAAGTATTGCTTGAGCCAATGATACGTAACATTTCACCATTTTTCAATAGAGAAAATCTCATGTATGTGTTTCTTAGCTTAAAAGGTAAAATATGTAATCTTTTGGTTGTTTTGTTGTTGTAACTTGTAAGTTCTTCTGTATAGTATAGCCACACATTTTACACATGCCTGAGTAAAGAAAAGAAAAAAAAGATAATTTCGAATTTGTTACGTTTCTTGATTGCAATCATCCACCAACATATCCGGCGATGAATCATCCTATCATCATAATAATCAATAATGCATGCAAAAAAAATAACTTTTTAACTTCTAAAAAGTGTAACATTATAACAAATCAACTATACATTTGAGGCGGAAATAATATTTTTGAAAAAAATCATCCAACACTTAAAAAGGAAATTAATGATTACACACACTTAACTCATGCACAGATACTGAGATACACACATACGTAAAAATGGTTAAATGCAAAACTTAAATAATTGAGCAACTTTGAAATTAATTATATATAAAAAAAGCAACTTTTGAAATTGTTTTCATTTTCACACCTATACCTTTCTCTTGCTTTCTTGCACCAAAGCTGTTCAACAGTAACCAATCTCTCACACTTCTTCTTCTTCTTCTTCCTCTTCAAAATCTTCAATCATGCTCCATTCTCACTCCTCCTCTTCCTCCTTCTTCTTCTCTTCTCTCTCTAAATCTCTCCCATGGGTTACCTCTCTTGCAACGGCGAATCCGCCGTTGCTATCTGCGATCCTTACAACTGGAATCCTCGTCGACGATCGAATCGTCATCCTCATAAACTCCGGATTTTCAAATACGACGAACTCGCTGCCGCTACAAACGGCTTCTCCGCCGGAAACTTCTTAGGTAAAGGAAGTCACGGCAGAGTTTACAAAGCGGTTCTTGACAACGGAAAGCTTCTCGCTGCCGTCAAGAGATCAACACTCACCACCACCGTCGGTAGTCATAATAATAACAACAACGTGAGTCAAGCGGACAACGAGATCGAGATCCTCACACGAGTTCGTCACCGTTGGATGGTCAACTTAATCGGTTACTGCGTTGACCACCGGAGAAAAACGAAGCTGTTAGTCGTTGATTACATGCCTAACGGCACGCTTCACGATCAGTTACATTCTCGTTGTTCGTTAGATCCACCCCTTAGTTGGAACCGGAGGACCAAACACGCGCTACAGATCGCAACTGTTGTTCACGCGCTTCACGTCGCGGAGAATCCGGTGATCCACCGCGACATTAAATCGTCAAACGTACTCATCGACGGCGACGGGAACGCTAGGCTAGCCGATTTCGGATTAGCGTTGATCGGAAACGTCGACGACGAGCGTTTGAAATGTACACCGCCGGCGGGAACGTTGGGGTATTTAGATCCGTCGTATTTAGCGCCGGCGGATCTAACGGCGAAGACAGATGTTTTCAGCTTTGGGATATTGTTGTTGGAGATGATTAGTGGCAGAGAAGCCATTGATTTGAATTATAGCCCGTCTTGTATAGTTGATTGGGCTGTTCCGTTGATCAAACGCGGCGAATTCGCGGCGGTTTGTGATCCGAAGATTAAGAACCGTCCTTACTCCGCCGTGATTCGGAAACTGGCGATTATGGCGGCGAGGTGTGTAAGATCGACGGCGAAGAAACGTCCGGATATGTTAGAGGTAGTGGAGTGTTTGAAAACGGTGAGGAAGCTATCTAAGGCTTCTCCAGCGTGGAATCGTCTGCGGCGGGAGAGTGAAGACAGATCGGAAAACGTTTTGGCGGTTGAGGAAGAAAAGGAATTAGAGAATCATGTGAGGATCGTGAGAGGAGGAAGCAGGAAGAACCGTAAGGTATCGTGTATGACGAGTGAGGGTAATGTTAATGTATACGATTACGAGAGAATAGAACCGGAGGTGCCGTTGCTTTCTCCGCTACCGCCGCAGATTCGTCGTCGGAATTTTGTGCTGAGATCGAGGTCAGTGGGAGCGAAAGTTGGACCGGATCCGAACGAAGACGTTGGACATAAGACTGCGGTTACACTGAGAATTCTTATCGAGAAAGAGAGACCGGTGAAGACTATGGCGGCGGTGAGGCTGAGCAAGTCGAGGTCGGTGGGGATGGTACGTAGTAATAAAACGGCGTCGGGGAAGAGATATTAAATATGTCTTAACGAAAAGTCAGCAATTTTGCCAGACTAAATTGTTTGACCGTTGCCTGATTTGTAGTATTCCACTTCTTTTTTCTATTTTTGTTTTTTCTTTTGTCTCATTTTTTTATTTTAACTATTTGTTTTTTTTGCTGTTGGTGTATTGAATAAAATTTGTGTTTTTTTTGCTGCGAAATTTTCAAGGTGATTTTTATAAAAAAAAAGTCAGAAAGGAAAATGGAATTTGATTTAGGAAGAGAAGAGTTGTTGAATGTTTAGTTCATTCACATTGAATAGTTTTTTTTTTCAAACTCGGTTTTGTCAAAGAAGAAGTTGGTTTATTACCTAAATATGTATGAATCTTTGCCTTTTGGTACTAAAGCTAGTTTACTCTATTTTCAATACTCAAATGAGAAAAAGATTTGGTCTGTTTTGTATTCGTTTAGCGACAATGACCAACGATTAGCCCGCGAGCTCCCACAAGATGCATCGACTAAATCATTTTACAAAAATAGAGAGTGACTCTAATAATTTACAAATTTCATAAGCTAAATGATTAGGCAAATAGAGATAAAAACCGTTTCAGTTTCATCCAAATATGTTGTTCTACAGGAGTGTACATATACTAGTTGTAAATTCAACAATATCAATATACAACGAAAACATTTACATCAACAGATAAATAAAATTTTCACAACCCAAAACACCTGATCAGACAAACGCTAATCACAATCTGAAACCTGCAAAAATACAACAGACACACTTTAACTTGTGTTCCCACTTAGACACCCCTCCATGTCCTTTCCAGAGTGCATGGATCTCTCAGACAAGCGAATCTTCAGACATAACAGTAAGCAGAGAGTATTTGGCTTTGATTGAGATCTTGCCTGCTTCAACACAAAGCTTTGCCCCAGTCACTACCCAATATCCAGGTGGTTCCTCTGGACCTCTCACTACCTCTTTCATGTCCACAAGATTCAGCAGCTTTGGTTTCGCAGGCGGAGATGGCCCCCTAGGATACACTGCAGAGTTTAGATCAATCTTAGACTGTGGCTTTGTTGTTGCCGGGTTTGGACTTAAACCCGCGCTTAGTCTTGTACTAATCATCGAGAAAACACCTGATTTGCGAGAGTTTGATGAGAGATTATCCCAGCATGATTTACGTATAACAGCTGAAGCATCGAGTGAGAAACCGAGCCTCAAGAACAGAACTTTCCTCATCCCCATTCCTTTAACTTCTAACCAGGCTTTGGTTACAATAGAGGCGGTGTCATCAGCCCGTGCTCCGCTGTACTGAACTGGGAAGGTGCAAACGTGTGAGAATATTCCCCATTTCACGGGTTCATAATACCCTTTTTCATCTGGTTCATCGACAGGTTCATAGGTGTCATCGTGTGAGAGATGGAGACTTGGTGGACATGTAGAGAGGTGCTGTAAATGGATTGCCAGATGATCTCCCTTCTTCCCCTCCAGGAAGAAGCGTAGTCCAGTTACTGGCCGCTCGCATGAATCAACCTATACAACAGTTTTTGAGAATTGAATGTTTGCAATTGAGCAAAGGTTTATTATCTACAGCAATGTGAAGAACACATGTACCTTTGACGTGTTGACATATAATTTTGGACCCAACAAAGAGAACTGAAGGGACGGAGAACTCTGTTTTCTCCGGCGTAATCCGAGAGGGAGATCCCCATAAACAGGAGCCCATTGGCGTGGAAGTTGAAACTCAAGAAACTGATGCAACTCTTCTATTGGTGGCTTATCTACAACATTTTATACAACCTTGTTACCTGAATGAACCGTCTGAGTAAGTAACTAAGATACAAAAGCCAATATACAAAGGGCTCACATCGAAGGTATAAGTTCACCGCATGACTTAGAAATCCTGTTCCTGGGAGACCACTCAAGAGTGAAGTTATAGGAACAAAACACATCGATATGGCGTTAGGTGATTGTGAAATTGTTGAGAGCCATCGATCATGACTTTGTCCCACATCAACACCTCCTCTTCTGACACAAATGCTCACCATCTCCTGGAGATGCAAAGTACACATTTGTTAATTTCCCAGTTTAAGCATACAAAGAATACCCATATGGCTCACTGCATTAGTAGTGGTGAGAAGAAGCGGACCTCGTTCTTGGAGCGCAAGATAACTGGGCGACTAACCGAGGCATTCAATGGTTGAAATCCCCACTGGAGAGGGCTCCCCTCCTGCGGAACAATTAAACATTCAGGCTCCAATGTGATTTAAAATGCAATAAGGAACAATAGACAGACCTAAAAACTTGTAAAAGACGCTTTTACATTTGGCTTTCCGGAATAAACAGCAGCAGGAGAGATACTTTCAACTGGATCAGCAGAAAATCTTTTGTCACCCAATTGCTTCAACAGTTTCTGGACTTCATCAGGCTCATGATTCGAATTACGCAGCTGCTTCATGTGAATAACCTCTTTGCCTCCCATTGTCACTCCAACAATTATATGAGTACCATATTTATCGATAAACCTGTTATATAAAAACCAAAACCAATCTTTCCCATTTACAAAAGATCCAAAATTGCAGTAAGAAAAAGAAAAAACCAAAACTTTGTTAGTGATGATAAATTTATTTACCCAGCAAGTGCAGCAGCGTCCCAAGAAGAAGGAACCTCACGTTTCACTTCATCACGTAGAGTAACTTGCGACCTAACGAGCTCTACACTGTACAAACTAATGAACCATCCATCATAAGCTAAAGTCTTGACAGAGCTCGCATCTTTCTGCCAACATCTATTAAAATCAAACATAGTATTGAACATCCCCGACGGTATCTTCCCAGACAGAGACATATCTTGATTAAACTTCTCCGACATCTACACAAACAAAAGTCACTCAAATTTAGAGATGTTTCTTTCTACTACGACACACGAATCAGTAAAACAAAAAATAAAAATCAAGCCTTTAGATACTAAACCTGATTAAAAGAGAGTATATCGGAGCGTAACCGAGTACGTTCGCCTTTATCGCACTTAATCGAGCTGGAGACGTTATTAACAACGATCCCACCAGGGAAATACAAGTCACGGTTCCGGGTCGGGTCAATCTCGACTAGCCTAGACCCGTCTGGTGTAGCTTTACAATAAGAGAGACGAACATCGGAGCAGAGATCATAGCCTAATCCGATCACTGATACGGCTTTCTCGGCGGCGGACTGAGCATCGTGGCGGGTGATATTGTAAGCCATGGGATGAGAAGGGTGGAGGAGGGAGAGAGAGAGATGATGATGAAACAAAGGGAAGTGGAAAATTCAAAAGATTGTGTCTTTGAGTGGTGAAGAAGACGAGGAACAAAGCCATTGAAGTGGTCAACGGTGTATGGCTCACAAAAGAAGAAGACTCATAGAAAACTTTACAAAAATAAAAATGAAGCATTTAGTCAACACGCAATTACTTTGACTTTATTTGGCTAAATGTTTGATTTTTTTTTGTTATGATATTAAAAGTGTGAATATGAGATGATTAGAATAATATTTTTTACCTAATTTTTTAGTTGTAACAAGTAACAACTATGCATATCGATTTTTTTTAATATAATCTTTGTTTGAGGATACACTTATGAAGCAGTTAGGCTGATGATATTTGACTAGGACACTATAAATAAATCATGATCAGCAGATTTGTTTTGTAGCTTTGTTGTCCAAATTTATAACTCACAACGAAGTTGATGGTTACTATTGCCTAATGTTTTACAATTTGTCTATTCAAAAATCAGTATGTGTAAACTTAAGAAAAAAAGAATATAAACTTAGGAAGATTTGATACCAAAACATGTAACATGAAACTTTCTTTGGTAGACTTTTCCAATAGTGCAAGGCTGTGAGACGTTACATCATCGGTTTAATATTTTTATTTCCAACGTAGGATTAGTTTTTATATATCATTAGCTTTGCTTGGGTGTATAATTGGGTGTCAACCCCAACCACACTGTAGTGTAGTTGGTTGGTAATATTGGTATACAATAGACAGCAATGAGATATTTTTTTACACGTTATTCGTCGTCGCATGTTACTCTCTCTGATACGTTTGACAAAGTTGCGGCGTTAGAACCGAATACACATAGTCTTTGTTACATATATTTCTATAAAGTTTATAAGATTACGATCTCATATTTGACTATTACAATGTTTTTTTAAACCACACGATATTTCTACTGTTGAATTTTGGTGTAAGAGTTGCATTTATCTTTCGCCTCCATCTGCAGATTTTACTACTATATTCAAAAGCTTTTACGAAATAAATTTATCTCTACAATGATAATAAACGGAGACAAAATTTTGAATGTGACTTGTCTTCGGATCAGATAGCAAATCCAAGAGATTTAGCTTCACAGTTAATTATCATTGTACATATATATTCATTCTTAAACAATAGCTTATAAAGTTAAGAAGATGTATTCAACAAACATTTGCTCTAGAAGATTTGAGTTTTAATAAATTTTTAGATGAATGTTTAAGATTTTGGACAAATTTATAGAAACTTGAAATCCCAATGTGTAAAACTTGAAGACAAACCACCAGTCGATCGCAAGTCCTTTCTGAACTCAATTAATGTCTCGTATAAGTTTGTTTGGTTAATTATAAAGCGTTTCCTATGGTCTCGTGTTCAAATATGTTAGAGGAGTATTTCTTGAACACATGCTATCCTTGCTCATAACAATGACATGTTCCTAGAGTATATTATAAGATGTGTGTGTATATAACTATTTGTATCTACTACGTACATAACACAAACGAAGACATCATCTGTATGCCAGTAAGTAAGTACAAACACAAGCCTTGATTTCATTAATTAATTAGCTCTACCTTATTTATAAAACACCCATATATGCACATATCAAAAGCAAGCTTTACCCGTAAGTAGCAAAGTTGAAGACCACCCTTCCGGTTTCATTTGGGCTTCTTAATTGTGTCTCTGTATCGGTCCTAGATTGCCATGAGGAACTGGTCCAGGATAAGGAAAACCTCCTCCGTAAACCGGGCTCGGGTTCCAAAACCCGTAATCGCCATACAACTTTGCTAGATCAAAGCTCTTGGATTTCACCTTTAAGGAAGAATCTAAATCTTGAGATGTATATTTGTTGGTAGAGATAGGTCTTCCCATTGCGGTCGAGATAATGAGCATAGCGAGGGTAGTTATGCGAAACATTGACATGTTAGATACATGAAGAAACATTTTTTAACCAAGAAAACTCTTTACGATCTGCATGATGTTCCTACCTTTTCAAAGCTATTTAAAACCAAATTAGATAAAGGATTACAGCTCATATCTTGTTTTATTAATGTAATTTTTTTTTAATATCAAAGGTAATGGGCATTTGAGGATACAGTGTTTAAGTGTTTTTATTTTTGGTTTATCACGTCATTTGAATGAGAAAGTTCATGAGGTTTGCATGTACTTGAAGTACTTCTTTCTTGTTTATCACTCGGAAACGATACTACGTTGGTCACTGGTTATTAATTCACAAAATAGACCAAGGCCCAGTCGTATGTTGAGGCCCAAATTTTGTTTGATGGCTTAGGGCTTATCTTAGTTTTTCGTCACATAATGAAAGGTAAAAAAAAACTTTGGTTGGTTTAATAATAGCTATCTTTTCTAATTGAGAAAATGATAAAGATAGTTGTTTTTAATTAGGATAATGAAACACATAGGCATGAATCAATTTATGGCCTTGAATGGAAGGGCAGATTAAAGCCAGATTAAAAGCAGATAATACACACAATGTGAGAACTGTTATTTTTTCTCCATTCACACAAAATTAATATAATGGCAGTTCAAAAAAGAAAATATTACTAAAAAATAATTGATCTGCTAGCAGATCAAATATAAGAAGGATATTGTATTGCACTATGAACAGTAAAAAAGCTGGAGATTTGGAGTGTTTTTAAATGAACTGCTTTTTTTAATAAAATATTAATAAAATTTGATCTGCATTTAATATGCCATATCTGCTAATCTGCTTTTGTTCTGCTGGGTATATTTTAACTGCTTGATCTGTTCTGCCATATTTATTATCTCCATTCAAAGCCTATATATAGTATATAACTAATCAAAGTCTTAGAAAATTTAGTGATGATCTAATAGTGTCTACTTTTATACTAGGCTGTGGTATTTTTTTCTTTCTGATAACTCATCATCGTTGCATAGCTATATATAGAGAGAATACAAAAAATGCTACAATAACATTCAGTTAAAAAATGATATCATCATTTGACTAAAACAACATTACATTTTATCATCATCCTTATTTTCAGTTCAAAAAATGGGTCATCATCTTTGGTAATATTATGGCTTTGAATGGAGATAATAAATATGGCAGAGCAGATCAAGCAGTTAAAATATACCCAGCAGAACAAAAGCAGATTAGCAGATATGGCATATTAAATGCAGATCAAATTTTATTAATATTTTATTTAAAAAAGCAGTTCATTTAAAAACACTCCAAATCTCCAGCTTTTTTACTGTTCATAGTGCAATACAATATCCTTCTTATTATGATCTGCTAGCAGATCAATTATTTTTTAATAATATTTTCTTTTTTGAACTGCCATTATATTAATTTTGTGTGAATGGAGAAAAAATAGCAGTTCTCCCATTGTGTGTATTATCTGCTTTTAATCTGCTTTTAATCTGCCCTTCCATTCAAGGCCTATATCTATATATTTTTATACCAAAAATCATCATCATCATTTCTCAACTACAAATTTTCTTGCATACTGGTATAGACCGAGGCATGTATGTTCTGGAAAGTATAACAAAAAATGCTTTGGAAATTGGTATTACCAAAATAATTGTCGAGTAGTAGTTTTCTATATATGTAAATATAGGAAGACGGCAAATTATTCTTTATGAATCGTATAATTTGCTTTGACTGTACGTACGTACATCCTATAAGAAACAAAAACAATACTATATCTTTGGCATGAAAAAAAGAAAGAAGAAGATATACTATGAATTGAGACTAATTAATTAAGCTTAAAGTAATCATATTGATAATAATTGTAACATGTGTTTTAAATGGTTTTCGAAGGCAAACCATATGATACGAGCCGAATAAAAATGAGAGATTTAGTCAACCGACGGACACGCTTTGATCCAAAATGTCTCTAATGTCCCCCTTCTTGACCCATACCTCTCTAAAACATCCTAATAAGTCTCCTCTTCCTCCTTTTGTTATATTTCCCGGCACGTTCAATTATTTGATTTGCAAAGAAGATACTTACTTAATAAAGCATATACTATAAACATTACTTTATAATGTGAGTTTCATTCATGCATCAAACCACTGTTTTGTGTGTTATATATTCCACTCTTGACATTCCAAAACACTATCATCCATAAAAAGTTAGTTATATGATTATTAAAATTAGCAAACATTTCAGCGCGTAAGACGTAATTACATCGGAATAGTAAAGTTGTCCAAAAGAAATGAATCCGGAATAGAGTTGAGTGATATGACTTACCGTGTGTAAAGACTAAAGATAGGCTCTTTATTTTCCTCTGGCTGAATAAGTCGTTAGTATAAGATCATATCATTAACAAAGGATCGTCATTAGCTACGTCTGCTTGGAGACGATTATCTTTCGTCATATTCGGTGTTATGAGAAAGGTTTCTTTATTTTAACTCATCTTTTCATGATCTAACCTTTCTTTCAAATAATTCAAATCTATTTAAATAAATAGAAACTTGAAATAGGGCAATAATAAAATTCAGAATCGAGACAGAATAACCGCGCATCGTGCGATTTTATTAGTAATGTGGCAATTTTTTTTTTTGTTACCATTAGAACCGCACTTTACTTTTTTACAATTGTTTTTCATGTTATTGTTTAAAGTTTAAATGTCTAGTAACCGTTCAAAAAAAAGAATTATCTTCTACTTAAAATTTTTTGTAAAAAAGGGAAAGAATATACAAATTTTTAAAAGATTAAATATTCAGAAAAAAGGTAAATATATAAATTTTAGCTTAGAATTAGTAAAGAGTGGTCAAATAGTAATGTTCGGGTGATTCATTTTTACATATAGTCGAGAAAATGCATAGATGGTGTGTAAGACTAAAAATAATAATATGTCATCTTGAAAAACAACATTTAAAAAAATCAAAAATCATTGAAAAATCCTTAAACAAAATATAGATCACAAAGTTTTCTATCAATGGAATATGTTAACACTTCTTGAATTTGTGCAAAATTCTATTTAGTAAATATTTTCAGAAAACTTGAATAAGTTGCCGGTACTCCGTCCGACAGGTTTTGATATAAAATTTTCATACGTATTAAAGAAGAAAAAAAATAGTAAGAGTACAACATTTCTGTGAAGAGCAAGTAAGTCGTATTGGTCCATTCGCCTGAAAGTCCAAATGCAAAATTTAATAATGTGAAATTGTGAGGAGAAGAATCAATCAAAACTTCGACATCAACGTGTAAATGCATTGCATCTGAACTAAACGGTGGCCAATCCTGGAAACCGAACGGTAACACATAATCTCATTCTTTTATATATCAAAACATTAGTATTATTATTATAGTATCATATACTATATGATTAACAAATGCAAATTATGATTCTCATCTGTGTGTGTTCTACCGACAAATTTTGCAGGCCTGTGTCTTCTTTGGTTCCAACGTAATCCGATCTTTGTGTTCTCTGGTCTATACATTGTGTCCATTGTTTATTTTGGCTTTTGTCAAATTATGTCCGTTTTTAACGTAACACATAAGTGAGTAATCATTCTTTGTTCTTCTCTATAAATAGATTTGTTTTTAAGATATGGTTTAATTTGATTCTTCTACCAATTATTAGGGCGTAATGGTTGCATGTGTACTTGGTCAAGCAATTCATCAGCCGCATGTGAGATTAGTTTGAGTATTTGCATTTTGCAATCGGGGTTTTTTGTTTTTTAGTATGACAGTAATGTTTTTTTAGTCACCCGTACAAACACATATCAATATTATAAAAATACATTAACTTATCTTATTATTATTTGTTTCCACACATAAGTTAAATTAAAAAACTAAAGAGATTTTTTTTTCTTTCAAAATCCCTAAGAAAAACGAGTTAAGCAAACGAAATAAGGTTACTATATATATATTGCTCGCCTCTTATAGTATTATTTTACCTAATTTTTTCTATAATATGTGAATGTGAAACTCGTAGGTAAAAGATATATATCTCAACTTCATTTAATAGGCTATGAAAAACAGAATTAAGTAGTTTGGTACACAAATTGGTTAATTATAACCTGTTAGAGTATATTATGATTTGTCTATACATATATCTATAGTTTACTTATTGTAGATTTATATATCGTATTCGAGCACTCCGATCTTTAAATTTTATAAATTACAGCGCCGCCACCTAAACATAATAACACCAAAAATAAAAATAATTAAATAATTTAAATTCAGAAATTAAAGATATACGTTAATCTACTAAATTACATTAGGAATAAAATGTTTACTTTATTAAAAAAAAAAAAATTTGATTTTTACCACTTTTTAATTTGTTATTAAATATGTGACTATCTATCAAAGCATAAAGTTTTATCGAAAATTAAAAATAACATGATAGTTATATATTATTGTAAGTTAAGCTTATTAAAATTGTTTTTTATTTTCAACTTTTTGTAGATTTATAATTACTTTGTCATAAATATTGCAGAGATATTAATTAATAAATATGATGTAAAGTACGAAACTGTATTAAAATTTGAAAGATTTCGACAGCTCGTCTAGTAAAATTTTAACTAATAATTAAAAAGTAATTGTATACCAATTAATATAATATATATATCAATTAATAATATAAGGCAACATGGTACATTTCATTTAATTTTCAATTTATAATTAAATAACACATGTAATAAGGCAATCAATTCATAATATCTAAAGCAAAAAACTGCTATGGAAACTCCTCCATTTTTCACTTAAGTATTTTAAGATATAAAAAAGTGTAAAAATTTAAAGAAAAACGATAAATCCATATCAATTCAATAGTATTTGTATCTATATTTTACTCTTTCCCATAAAAAAAACAAAAGTTTGTAACATAATTAAAATCCCGGTTTTAGTAAAAGATTATGTTTGCTTTAATTAGTACACACACATACATAAGAAATAAATCATTTGGCACGTCAATGTCCTTTACCAATTTTTCTTACACCAATACAAATCGACACGTGCCAAGTAAGCGCGTGGGCTCCTCATCGCAAGTAAAATATAGAAAAATCCATATATCACCAAAAATTAAATTAAAAGGCATTTTATACACACAAAAAAAAAAAACATTTTCATAATTGAAAAATAAAAAAACTTTATGAAGGGAAAAGAAAAAAAACATTTAAGAGAAAAAGCAAAAAAAAAAAAAAAAAGAGAGAGTCCATATCAGACAGTATCACTTTCCCCGTTCGTGGAGACAAAAAGAAGATGACACGTAGGTGTATTTAATTACCAAAACTGCCACTCGGCCGCCCCTTTTAGTCAAAACCGCGGTTGACTTACATTTTATCTTTGTCTCCTTCGAACTAATTATATATATATATCTCTCTCTTTCCTTACAACTTCACCCACAAAAACCTCTCAAGCTTCTTCCTTCCTCAGCCTCTCTTTTTCTCTGAACAAAGATTTGTATTTGTTTTTGTTGTCATGGCGCCGGCAGTTAAAACGGCGGTGGTCAAAACCAACGAAGGTAACGGAGTCCGTTACAGAGGAGTGAGGAAGAGGCAATGGGGACGTTACGCAGCCGAGATCAGAGATCCTTTCAAGAAGTCTCGGGTCTGGCTTGGTACTTACGACACTCCTGAAGATGCGGCTCGTGCCTACGACAAACGTGCCATTGAGTTTCGTGGTGCCAAAGCCAAAACCAATTTCACTTATTACAACACCACCAACGAGACCCTCAGCTTGAGCCAGAGCCATAGCACCGTTGAGTCATCCGTTCATGGTCTCAACAACAACAACCTCGGATCTGACGCCATCAGTTCAAGATTCCCTTTCCCTAAGATCCAGGTCAAGTCTGGGATGATGGTGTTTGATGACAGGAGTGAATCTGAATCGTCCTCTGTCGTGATGGATCGTAGCCCACAAGGAGGAGGACGAGGACGTGTGGTCTTGGACTTGGATCTTAACTTCCCTCCTCCACCTGAGAACTAATCATTTATATTATTGGGGATTAATCATTAATAATTTAGAATAATTAATTTTTAATGTTTTCTTGATTAAGTATTATTTGATCATCATCAAGTAGAAGTGGTTTCTACCAAAAAAAACTAATCAAGTAGAAGTGGTGCCAATTGTTTTTTCTTTTTTTTTTTGGTCATCAGCAGCAGATTTGTTTGAAAGAAATATTAGTATCAGAACGTGTTTTGTTCTAATCTGCTGATCGATGTCTTAATTATTACTTATTGATTAGTATGTAATTCTGATCAAAATAAATAATATACTCTTGTTTTGGCATCAATCTCTATGATCAACACATATAAGTAAGTTGATCGTATGTTTTTATCCACATCCAATTAGTTATATTTTTGACAGAAAACAACAATACCTTATAGGATACCTTATTTGGGATAATGAGATTTGTCAAAAACAGATTTTGTTGTTTTTGAATATAAAATTGCAGAATAAATTGTTGCATTGTTTTTTGTTCTCATGGAAGGTATATAATTGTTGGAAAAAAAAGGAAGGTATATTATTTTATATATGCTAATCTGCTGTTATAAAAATTAAAAAACATATATATTGTCAAACAATTATATGTTTACTGACTTTCCTATATGTGATGTATATAACTAGTCATGAAACAAAACTTTATAATATGGAAAGATATAAAGATAGGTGACTACTTCTTCTAACCCTGTATTGTATACATGGTAAGTAAATTGCTTATTTCGACATACATATACGAAGAAGGTTAAGATATATTTTATACATTTATTGAGGTAAATTGATTAATCTAGTTATTTATGAGCACGAGAAGAGAACATTTTTTTAGCAGAGGTGGTGATCCAACTCAAGCAAAAGGACTCATGCATTGGTGATAAATCTGAATTATTTCTTGTTATTGTGGTAAACATGTTCACTATGTTTATGTACTCTTTGAATGTTGTTAATTTGTTATACAAGCTAAGGATAGTTAAAGCATTAGCTAGCCTAGGTTTAAGATACAACTTGGTAAAATCTAGTGTATAGACCATATAATAGTTCTTTGTCGACCATATCATAGAATTTATGTTACTTTTAAGACATTTTCTTTGAGGAAGATTTGATTATCGATGGTTGGCCAAGGATATCTTTGATATGTACTAGCAAAAGATCTCTTGAAGTTTGCTTTTCTTGTTGGGTTTGGTTTACTCATTCTCTATCGAGGTTTGCGTTTTGGTTTGATTTTGTAATGGTTTTTTATTTTCTATCTTTTTATGATTGTAACATTGTATTTTAAGTTATTAGCTTTTTTTTCATAGGATTTTAGATTCCAGAGATATTGCGTTTTTTACTGGTTTTAGACTCTAAAGATATCTTGTTTTCTAGTCGGCTTATGTTTGTAACCTTCAATACGTTATGATTTCAATAATATAATTTTAGATGACAAACAAAAAAGACCATATAATACTTCAAAGCGGATAACTCCGCAACTGCCAGAGAGTTAGCCAACCACTGAGCAATGCTTAAGGTGGAGCCTCTTCGACAATTGGTTTAAATTAATTGACCTTCGGCCATCAAGGCATCAACGTTGGACTTTCGTTTAACACAAACTGAACTTGGATCCCAATTGCTTAAGAGCCCATCAGTTCTTTTGGCCCACTCCAAAAAAGGTAGAACCAAACATAAAACCGCATTTAACGTTAGAGTAGTGTTTGTTGGAATTTGCTCCACTCGGAAAAAAGCTTGTCCATGTCTCTCTGTTATTTTCAGTTTAGCTTTTTAACGAGATTTGATATATTAATACTTTCCCCGAAAAAAGTTATTGCAGTTAAATGAATTTTTGTGAAGAAATCATGCTAATGAGTAATGACTAAATAAGTCTAAATTCATAAACTAACAATAGGCAAAATATTCACAACAAAACCCAATACTACCAAAGTTAAAAACTCAGAAATTATTAACATAACAAAACCCAAAATATTCCCAAAAACCACGGATTGTGTTTTGATGGGACTCTCCATTTGGACATATCTTCGAACCAATTCATACACGGAAAAAGGCACTGATTAAAAACCTCAAAAATTGATGGTCGGCCACTGCCGCCACACTATCAAGTAAAAGAGCACTTATTAAGCCCTATATAATTCAAATTACATATGACTTTCTTTTGTCAAATAATTAAATAAAGCTTAGGTTTATAAAAACGACAAAGAAACTCACAAACACTTAAAGCCATCTAGAAATAGTTAACAAACAACTAAACAAGAAAAATCCAAATTTTATCAATCGTTATATCGGAATACTTTTTGTTCAGCATACGGGTAGAAATAATGTGCAAAACTATTTATGAAAAACTCGTAAATATAAATAAGACATATCATGTCCGTAGGTGAATAATAAGCCAGTCCAAAGTCCAAACTCACACGCTTGCTCTGTAAATAATGTCTCTCACTAGTCTCTATCTCTTTTGTTTGTTTCCTTCTTTACTCAGTCTTTTGTCGTGGTGTCTTACACAGAGAGAGGCGCGTGAGTCAAAACAGGACTTGCAAAGTAAAGAAAGAGCTGCACACAAGTCAGTCCGTACTCAACGACACGCCATAGAATACGATAAGATTTCAATAACCCCCTCGAAACCGACATAAGCTACGGTCGTAACGCAATCCACAAACAACAACAAAGCATTATCATTTTCTCTTTTTGATGCATGCACACGAATCATAATAATAAGACGTTTGTTAATATTTGCTGATAATTAAATAACTTTCTTTTGTTTTTTTCATCTTTCCGCAACATGGATCTCATAACAATCGATCTCTTCCGTCTCTTACATAACGAACAAAAGAACTACTTAAAATATAACTCTAACAAAAAGATATCTGCTAAAAAGAAACAAATACTTCCACCGAAAGTTGTCTAAAACGGCGCCGTATACAAAAGTCCGCCGAAACGGCGCCGTCTATATCGAGACTTAATACTTTTGTTTTACATCCAAAGCGGCGGAGGCTCGTTGAGGTCAATGGATAGGCCACGTCTCACCGTAGCAGGTGAAGGAGAAGGACTCGTTACAGGAAACCCTACCACTCGACCATTAGATGGTGACGTGGCGGCATTAGGCGGGGCGGCGAAGTAAAGCGGCGCTTCGTTAGAGGTGTAATCTGAAGTTTTGTCGTTGAGCACTCCAGTTCGTAGAAATATCCGGTGGTGCTGGTGATGGTGGTCGGAGATAGTAGGAGGAGGAGGAGGAGGAGCGGCGAACCAGAGCTGTTGATGGTGATTGTGTTGGTTATGATCTGGTGCGGGAGTTGCGACAGAGGGAGCGGAAGGGATGTGGTTAAGGTCGAGAGAGAGAGGAGAAGGGAAGTTAGTTTTGGCTTTGATACCACGGAGGAAACGAGCGGCGCCGTCGTAAGCGAGAGCAGCTTCTTCGGGAGTGTCGAAAGTGCCTAACCAAACCCTAGTTTTCTTCCAAGGATCTCTAATCTCAGCAGCGTAACGACCCCATGGTCTCTTTCTCACTCCTCTGTAATGCACCTCTCTTGCACATGTCGTAGACGCCATCGTCGAGAATCTCTATCAGAGAAGATGAGAGAATCTAGAGAGAGTTAGTGAGTACTACTAGTATATAAATATGAAGGAAGAAAGAGGTTTTGCTTTTGTTGACTTGTTTGACCCAAAAATGAGAGAGAGTGTGTGAGTGAGTTTAAAGAGGAAGAGGTGTTGTGTTTTGTAGTTGAGAACACCCGTAATCCTCGGCTTCTTTTGACGATTTATCTTTTAGTTTTTTCTTCTAAGCAATACTAGGATCGAGGTTTTCTATAGGTTTTGCAAGGATCAACCACCGTTCGATCTTTGTGCTGTTTGGTCGATGTGACTGTGGTATACTGAGAGATTGTTACACGTGTGTTTTTACACCTAACTATATTGTTTTCGATTATTTGAGAATACAAAAAAAAACACACACACAATAAGATACTAGATCTCTTATAAAGTGAATAATTGAATAGACTAATCGTACGACATAGAAAAAGGGACTTATTACTTCTGCCTGATGCTAAATACTGTTTTCTCATCTATTCATTTACGAGTATAATAAGTTTGGTTATACTAAAAGAAGATTATTGGACGTTAATGTTATAGAAACAAATGTATGAGTTTCCACTCTTAAAGCGAACTGCATTAAAAGATAAGCAGAAGGCTATTTGCTTTAGGTTTGTGCCATACTAGGAAATTAATAATGCTCGTTAGAAAATATATAACAAGCAAATGTAATTATTAAACCCAGATCGTATTAATTATTATAAACTTTTGTAAACATTATCAGGTTCTACTATATCGATCGTAATTACAAACCTCGATGCATTTTCTTCTCATAGCATAAGCAACCAACCAACCATTGAGAAATGATAAAAAGAAACAAATAGAGTAAAATAATAAAAAAGTGGTGTAAACGAAGAAGAAAGAAAGAAAGAAAAATAAAAAGGGCCGCCTCTTTGACTGGACCTGTGGCATTGGGATGCTGACGTAAACCCTACTAGTAGCTGCTCTATACAGTATACACTCTATATAGATCTCTTTTTATATATATATACACGTATCTGCTTGTTTCAGTCTATTATATTACAAGTATTTATAGGCTCTCTTTTGGGTTTTTTATTGGCACCCCCACCATATATAAAATATATATTTATGATGTAATAATTATAATGATGCACGAGTACACAAGCGAGCGAGAGAGATCATTTAATATAAGTTCACTTGAACACAACTACTCCTATCTATCTATCTATCTATCTATCTAGCTAGCTCTGACTGATTTTGTTTTTCTTTTTGTCTAAAATATTTATTTAATCAGCCCCATCTTTTTACGGGACCCTCTCTATATAGCAAAATCTTGGAGTACATTAGTCTGTTCTTGCCCCCTAGTGACGCAGTTAGCCTTTAGATAAAACTTTTTTTTATTTCAGTATAATTTTGTAATACAAAATTACCAAATTCTAGTCCAAATTGGAACTTAGTCCGAATCATACTATGATTTTTAAAGAAGAGACAAGGGTTTAAAACATCTTCCATACGAGGTTTATTTTTGGTCTTATTAACTGGAGTTTCATTAGGTTTTGTTTGTTATTATTTATTAGGGTTTTTCTTGATTAAAAAAGAAAGAAGTGTGTTTCCTTTCACGTGACAAGGCTTGGGCTCTGTCGTTTTGATTGAACAAAAGCTTTGGTCCATATCTAACAAAATTTCTACACGTGCGAACACTCTGATGTCTGACTTCTCTCTCTGACAACACCAACTTATTATTTTTTACTTTTATTAGATTAACCCTACTATATATTTATACTACTACATCCCAAAGCTAAGCTAAAGCTAATAGTAACAATAATCATTTTCAAGAATCTGGCTTTCGTGTTCACGTGAGCCTGCTCATACTTATGAGCTATATGACGTGTCTTTGTTGTGCAGCTAGAGAGATAGAGAGATAGAGAGAGAGAAGACAAAAGGACCATCATCATCGTCTAAGTGCTGACTGCCTACAGAAGCAGAACACAACACACACGAAATCATGACTACCATACGAATACGATGCCTCTCTCTCTCTCTCTCTCTCTCTTTCGCTGACGTGTTTTCTCCTCTCTCTCTCTCTCCCCGTCCCTCCCACTCCCACACACCTGATCCTGACTTTCGCGCCTCTTTTTTGACTATTTGTTTTTCTTTCTTCTGTAGTGGTGAGCTAGTAGTATCTTTCTTTTTTCAGCTATCCATCTATTGTTTTTTTACCATTTACCTCTTTACTATATTATCCGACACGTCACTGTGATCGCTTTATTCGATAAGCTCGAAACTTTATTTGCTGTAGCTGTTGAGAGCTTCTTGTAATGTAACTGTTGAGGATTCTTTTACTTGACGTAGTTATGGTTCCTCTACTCTACTCTACTCCATGTCTCTATCATTAACCAATAACTTTATCATCGTTATTTCATTAAATTTATAATTAAAAGAAAAACAATGTTGGTTTTGGATCAAAGTATCAAGAACTTAAATGAGTTTCTCGTCTGCTAAAGCCGAAGCTAAACCAGCATAAATCACAAAATTTGGTTTCTTAATCACCATTCTAGGAGGCTCGTCGAAAACAAAAAGTGAATAATATCTCAGAGATTTGCAAGCTTTTTCGTAAAAAGTCTAGTAACCCCAAAAATCCTTACGACAGCTTGTACTGATGAGCACAAATATGCTTCTCCAACCTCACCTGGTGACTCTAAAAGCCTAAATAAATAAAAGTACAACGATAAGTCGAAAGAGTCTGAGAAAATACACAATCAAATGGGTTTCGATCAAACCGTAAACGAGGGGACATAGATTTTATTACCTTGACCTGTTCCAGTAGATTTTTGGCCCGCTCGTTGGTTTTGAAGTGATCACGAACAGGCTGTGATACATATATCGGTAATGATAAGCAAAGCATACAATTCATATAGATCAAAGAACGATTGAAAGGAGACAACTTTCAACGTTCCAAGATGATTCTACATTTTCTGTTGATGCCAGAAACTTAAGAGAAAACAACTTTTTCTTATATGGATTACTATGCTCATGTTTGTTGTGAGAATGAAGTCATTAATAGAAGGAAGTGTACTTACTTGCAGGGTTATATTCAACGCTTTCATTAAGGCCTTCTTCAGATCCTCAGGCTGCAACTCGCCGCTCTCGTAGTCAGCAGCAATGTCTTCAAAGCTTTTGAAGGTCCTGACAGTCGGAAGAATTTCAAAGATCAGTCTAAGATGTAATTTGCAAATCTTATATTTGATTCAGAGGCACCAAAAGTTGCAACCAAGATATTCAAAATAATTGTTTCCACTACTCACTTGTTACTGCCGTTCTTTTCATATTCGACTTTGAGCTCATTGAATCGTGGCAGAACGATATATTTGACGTATTCAAGACATGGATTGCCTTCCACAGTTCTTGGAGGGCAATAAGCTTTGTTGATCTTCTCATTAACATCAGCCTGGAAGACAAAAAGATCATAATACATGTTCATACTTACAAAAACTCTTCTCTGTTTTGAAAGCTTTATAGCTATTACTTACCTCCTCATCTTCCATAAAAATGGCAGATGAGGGATCACTTTTGGACATCTTTTCTTGTCCTTGTTGGAGACCAGGAAGCATATCTGAAAAGCCATTAACACAGTTAAAGATGATGACAACATCGGAAAGAAAGAAAACAAAAATATGCAAAGAGACATACGGTGGGACAGGATGATGGGTTTATTCTTTCTCTTAATGTGAGCACAGTATTCTCTTGCTAGCATGTTTACTTTCCGCTGATCCATCCCGAGCTGGCAAATATCAGCCTACACAGATCAAACAACAAGTATCAGTAGCAATTATAGAAATGTATATATTTAAAATACAAAAATGCATTTTCAAGTACCTCGAGTAAGAAAATATCCGCACACTGCATACACGGGTAAAGAATTTGAGCTGCACTCAGCACCTCGGTCTCACTACGTCCCATAATCTGCCCACACCTGTAAGGAAGGTGACACATTTCATTCAGATCCATTCTCATCGCCATTATATGTGAAACCAATAACTGGAAATTAATTACCTCAAGATGCGACGGAGATTGTTTCTACGAGCAATATCCATCACAAGAGGCCAATACTTATTCCCCTTACCATTTATTTCGTCTGATGCCCAAAGGAATGCTACTTTGTCGTTGTTCATCCCACCCGCTTGCCAAATCTCTTTGAAGTATTCTCCAACCACTCTAATTCTCTCCAAGTCACCTCCCAACTTGTTGTTCAATTGAGCAAACCAATCTGCAATCCAAATTTTCACTTGGCAACCAGCTGAAGTCAATTTGTTCACATTGGTGACCTTCATGACTCCCTGTTAAGAAAGTACAACAATGAAACAATTTACAATAAAGTTCTCATACAAAAAATATATATAACGTAATCAAAACAGCAGAAAGGCTTTAAGTTTTTGCTAATCATCTACTTAATGAAACTTACGTACATATACAAGCAAATGCATCTATTTCTAATGAACTATCTTATCCTTCAGACTCTAAAATCCTTCAAAATGAAGGCACAGAATGGAATAAACTAAAAACTCGACATCTCTCAAGCTGCATCTTCAACCTTGACTAATCATAGCCAAAAGGCTTAAAAATCGAGAGAAATTCTACATCAATTATGATTAGACACATCAGAATCTCATAACCAACCTGGGCGATGTGCATCCTTCCTGATGGTTCAAAACCATCGTAGCAGATCGGAGCAGGCTTCTTGGCTAGCAGATTCTTCAGCTCATCTTCTTGTATGCATTCCTCACCAATACTCCTCACAATCTGGTATTTCACCTCAGCCTCCTCACTCATCCTGAATTAGCAGCGTGCTACCCAGTAAACCACAAGTGCATAATACTATAGGAAAACTGACAAACATATTCGATAAAAAATCGAAGAACTTGAACTAGGGTGTGTGCCTTGTTTTACGGAATTGTCTATTTAAAATGACAGGAGGAAACTATTAAGTAATTAAAGCAAGAAAATCTATCTCCAAGTTTCACATAGAAGTCACAAAAAAAACCAACTTAGATGAGAAAACAAACATTGTACACTCTAAGTAATTTATCTTCTCAGAAACCACACAACAGAACATGAAAGAAATGGAATATGATATGCGGAAGAATCCATAACAAGATTACTCACTGTAATCCGGCCACCAAAGAAGATGCTGCGCTTGATGTATTGACGGAAAGAGCCTCCTTCTCTGTGGATGGAGCCGTTGGGATGACTCTGATAGACCATTAAAACAGGAATTACATTGGAATTTTGGTTATAAAAAGTTTGATTAATGAGAGACGTTGCTGAAAATTTTGACATCTGAGAATGGTTCTTGCTCCGTAATTTCTTTACCTGGTGACTTTGTATCCCTACAATAACACATGATAAACCAAAAAGGAGAGAGAAGTTCAGAGGCCTGTGTATGAACGTCCAGGCAATATCTATAAGTAACTAATTGAACCTAAAATGAGTGGAAAGACATTTTTATTACCTTGACCTGTTTGAGCAGATTCTTAGCCCGGCTGTTGGTTTTGAAATGGTCACGAACAGGCTGCAATGTGGGTAAAAACCAAAATAAAATTGTTAAAAACCTAAAATCAATGACCTATTTACCTAAAGGACATAATTTCTATGTTCCATGATAATTTAGTTAAATCCAAACAAAAGGGAAACATATTATTTAAATGTTTGTTAATAAACCATCTTGCTGTAACATAAGGAAATACTCACTTGCAGTATCTTATTCAATGCTTTTGTCAGAGCGTCCTTCAGATCCTTAGGGTGCAACTTGCCGCTTTCATAGTCAGCAGCAATATCTTCAAAGCTTTTGAAAGTCCTGTCATTTGAAAAATTATCATTTCATAGGTAAGTAACTTGCATTGCTAAATAAACCGAAAACAGAGACATGAATTATGAGAAAATCTGACCAAAGAGAATATTTCATGGCAGCCATTAGTTTGAGAGTAAACCCAGAAACCAAACACTAAACACAGAGGGTCTAGAAGAACTGGTAAAGACTCACCTGTTACCGCCATACTTTTCATCTCGCTCAACTGTGAACTCACTGAACCAGGGTAAGATGATGTATTGGACATACTCAAGGCAAGGGTTACCTTCCACGATATCCGGAGGGCAATAAGCTTTTTTAATCTTCACATTAACTTCAGCCTGGAATTTAAGATCATTAAACACCACTCAATAACTATACAGCTCATCTCTGTTGGTTATTTGAACTAGCTACTTTACCTCTTCATCTTCCATGAAGATGGCAGATGAAGGATCACTTTTAGACATCTTTTTCTGCCCTTGTTGAAGACCAGGAAGCATATCTACCATCCGTTACAGATAAAGATTATAAGAAGAATACTTGAAAGGATACACAATAGAACATCAATCAAATAGAAAATGTAGAACATACGGTGGGACAAGATGACAGGTTTGTTTCCCCTCTTAGTGTCATCACAATAGTCTCTTGCTAGCAAATTTACAGTTTGCTGATCAACCCCAAGCTGGCAAATATCAGCCTGCAAACGTTTCAACAACAATTTTAGAAAAGTTAAAAAGGTAGATGCACTTGATATAGATAAATCAGAACGCAGCTAGAAACAGATTGTCAGGGATCTTAAGACGACTAGTGAGAGCAAGCCTAAACGTGGAAGAAACCTATACGAAATTAGTATTAAAGTACCTCAAGGAAGAAGGTATCAGCACATTGCATACATACATACAGAATATGAGCTGCACTCAGCTCCTCAGTTTCACTCAAACCCATAATAGGCATACACCTGATCAGACCAAGAAACAACTCATGAATGTTTATCATCACATTAACATAATTGCATAAATGAAACGCGGGTATACCGTTTTATTTTGGCGAGACTATTTCTGCACGCAATATCCATCACAAGAGGCCAGTACTCATCCCCTCTAGCATTGATCTCATCGGATGACCACAGAAACTCTACATTCTCAGTGTTCATCCCGGCTGCCTGAAATATCTCCTTATAATAATCTCCAACAATCCTGATTTTCTTCAAATCACCTCCTAACTTGTTGTTCATATACGCAAACCAATCTGCAATCCAAATTTTCACTCGGCAACCAGCAGAAGTCAATTTGTTCACATTCATAATCTTCATCAGTCCCTGTCAACGTAATATCAGAGTTAAACGCACTAGCAGAAGCTTCTCACTTACAAATGAAAGAAAAATGAAAGAATTCCAATGCATGCTAAGCAATATAAAACAAGAATATAAGAAACATAATCACCTGAGCGATATGCATCCTCCCTGATGGTTCAAAACCGTCGTAGCAAACTGGAGCAGCTTTCTTAGCCAGAAGATCCTTCAGCTCATCATCATGTATACATTGTTCGCCAACACTTCTAACTACATTGTATCTTTTTTCGACCTCTTCGCTTATCCTGAACCAATAAAGATGTAATCTGCTTAGCTAACAAGTGCAAATTATAAACTGGAAGATTCACAAATGAAGTATCTCGATTTATTTTCCTGAGGTTTATAACTACAAATGTGAATGGTGAAGGAAAATCACCAACTAATTCGATGATGAATTGGAGGATGTAAATTAATGATAGTGCCTTTATCCCAGAGTTCTAATCTAAAACATGCGGAAGAAACTAGAGAGGAAATCAACTAACACTATAACATCGCTATTGGCTTCATCCATTTCTTGGATCATAGGCAAGAAAAGTGCTAGTGATATAGAGAGAAGAAACTTACTGTAATCCGGAGGCCAATGAAGACGCCTGAGTTGGTGCATTGATAGAAAGAGCCTCCATACCTAACGATGGAGCTGTTTCTAAAAATCAAAAACACAAAAAAAACAAAAAAAATGGACTCAAATTTTGAAACTTTATGCAGAAAGGAGTCAGACAGAAGTAACACCTTATCCTATCTTCTCCTCTATCTATATTGTTTCCAAGCTCTTGTTCTTTTTTGTTTTACTTACTCACACTTATGAAAAGTTGGTACCTTTAGCATATATTTCGATCTGGGCTTTGAGTGTTTTAGATCGATTTCAATCTAGAAACTGGCATTGACTCCTAAAACTCAGAACTCCTATTGAAAAATCTCCAAATATAACCCAACAGAGAAACGAGTTCTGGGAATAAAAGCACAAATGAATTCGAATGGGAAGAATATTTTGAACTGACCTCTGCGATTGATTCTCGTAGGCGTTGGTGTTTCACGCCGTGAAATGTCTGAAACCTTGAGGAAAGAAGAAACAGAGAAGAAACCCTTTTGACTCAAAAAAAAAAAAAAAGGAAAAATAGATCAGAACTCCCGGTTTGATCCGGTTCACTAAAGTTCCCGGTTTATTATGGTTCTTTGGCAGAGTGGGGCAAGTCCTACTGAAACAGGGAAGAAGTTATTACTACAGTTCAAGATTCTTGTGCTCATCTCATTCAGAAGCCATACTTCTTGGGGACAAAGTGCTGTTTTGAGTTTGGTTTATTTGGATTTAGATGTATGAATATTTCAGAGTTTCAGTTTTGTAACAAAGTCGAGCTTTGACCGAGTTGGTTTAACAAAAACTGATGTTTCCGTTGTTTTCACCTAACATGTGTAAATGATATATTAAACCATAACTTTTATGTTCTAAGTATCCTCTAAACTCCCACCAGACAAAAGAAACAAAGGACTAATCCCATACAAATTATAACACGAAAAATCGAATCCTATATCTCTAAGAGAACCGGTTTCACTTCCTGCGATAATTAAAAGCACTCAAGACCATTTACAAATGTATTTCCTCTTTGGTCTTCTTCATGTTGGGAGCAATGTGGTAGACATGATATGAACATTTTGACCTTGTGGGGGTTTGGGATTCGTGTTGCTAACCAGGAGAAGATTGAACTTCCAGAGAAGTAAATCACGACAACAAGCTTGGTCCATTTTCCACAGCAGTACGAGCTTGGCCGTGATTATTGTGCCCTTGCCGTGACATTTGGATGTCATGAGATACATGTGTTCTCTTTTTTGCATACGGAGCTCCTCTTGCTGCCATATTTACAGTACAGCTCATATAAGTTTTCTCATAGACTAATTACAGTTTCCTAGTGCAGAAGACAGAAATGAATGTTCTACCTGCAATCTGCTGTGCCCGAAGAATGTTCTGTCGCCTTTTCCACCATATCATTGCACATGCAACGATCAATAAGAATGCTAGACTAACACCAAATGCAATCCCAATCTTGGCTCCAGAAGAAAGGTGAGGTCCACAAGCTGGAAGCCCGGGGATTCCACAAAGACCTGCATTATCTGTGAAGCTACAGAGGTAGAGAGTGACAGTTACCAGGTAAGTGAGTGCTTTTTCCAACAGCATTCTAGTATTTTTAAAAGACATTTTGTCTCTGTTTCAATTTTCTTACTTGAAGCTTGCTCTATGCAACAGCCTCCCACCTACAGCCGCTGGTACTTTTCCTGACAAAGAGTTTCCATTGAGATTCCTACAAACATAATTAAAGATTTTATATTGCTTGACCATATTAACTCCATTGGCTACTGAAAATGATATGGACCAAAGAAAAAGAAAAATGTCAATAGAAACTGGATAATCTTACAGAATCCGCAGGGATGTTAATTCTCCCAAGGTTTCAGGGATAGATCCATTGAAGGAATTGTAGGAGAGGTCCCTGCAAAGAAGAATTAAGATTTAGTTTCAGGGTTCAGAATCGAAAAGTTAACACATAAAGTATTATTACTTACAAAACTTCCAAGCTCGTGACACTTCCAAGTGATGCAGGTATTCCTCCACGAATGCTGTTTTCACTCAAGTTTCTGAAATATGGAAAATAAATTGATCAAGATGCTTTCACTGTAAGGAGAAATTCCACAATATTAATGACATGAAAAGTCATTTCTCTTGAAGAAGATAACAAAATCATTCGTTTACATATAAATTTTGGGGGAGACTTCGATGAATGTATTGACTTACATGCTCTGAAGATGTTTTAGTTTCGATATGTCGTTTGGTAGAAAACCTTTCAGACCTTGGTTATCAAGATCACTGCAAAGGAAAACAAGGTTTTGTCTATTCAAAAACATGATAAAAGACTGGAAACTCAAAGAGAGATCCTTCCCAAATAAATATAAAGAGTTCATGTAATCTCTAGCTTATGTACATGCATAGATATCATATAAACTATGTGACTAATGTATATGCACAAAACAAGAGAAACGAGCTATACAGTCCATCAATGAACCATCGGCTGGTGTTCTTGTCCAGCTGACAATTAGCTCCACTCCAAGGATGTTGTGGGGGAACACATGGGTCACCGTTCCATCCAAACCTTGATGGAAGTCCTAAAGCTTTTTTCATTTTCTGTAATGCACCGACTGAAACAAAAAGTGGCTAGTAAGTATAAGACGTTGCATGCAATCATAATCCAATGATCCAGAAAGAAAGCAAACAACCAGCTTGATATTCAAGAGCTATTAGAAGGAATAAACCATAAGTGATTGGCAAATTTTAACCCTATATAGATTACCAAATGCGAATAATAATTTACTTGAATGACATTACATAAAATCAAATTCCATTCTTTCAACAATGGAAACGGCAGCTGACAACAAGATGCATTTTCGTTTTCAAATAACCAAACTTTATGAGCATTTGTGAAAAAGAACAGCAATGAAATGATAACCTTAAAAGTGTCCATAAAAAAAGTGTACCTTCATCTCTTAATGTCTTAAACTCAGCGGTTATGACTTCAAAGACCTCAATTGCATTGATAATAGCAAGACCACCTGCCTTGGGTTGTAGAACGACTGTTAAAGTTCTTCCACTCACAGTCACTGTTGCATTGAGAACAAGTGCTGCATATCGGTCACCACTCCTCTTTATGATATCCACATCTTCAAATAAAGTATCACCATTTATTACAACATCAAACACCCTTTTTCCTTCAGCAGTGATTGTAGCATCAATCTCTGCAAAGTGCAACCACACTGAGTACTTTCTGTTGGGTTCCACATCCAGGCTATATGTTAAATCGGGTTGGTCTTCCGTACTCACTAAAGCTGACTGATATAGTGCTTCTGGATAAAAGTTTGGGGAAACTGAGGCCTTCTTAATGGTATTCTCAGTTGATCTTGGGGAATCAGCTCCTTTACCAAAAGATCTCCTAGGATTCCAAAACCTATCACCACCCCAATGATCCCCACTGTAATCTTCATCAAACCTCGGCTTCCCAGTACCACAAGTCAACCTGGTGGCAGTTCTAAGTATAACTCCTTGGCCCCAACCTTCACCAAAGTTGTAAGCTTTATCATCAACCTGGAGAATTTCAATACTAAGGATAGCAGGATCACCATGACCTGTACTATGGAAACATATAGTAGCTGTCCCACCCAAAAGAAACATGAGAGCTTCAGCGAAAACTTGATCATCTTGACTACTCCAACCCGATTTCAGAGAGGATATCTGAGTCCCTTCAATAGATATGTCAAAGAGAGGCTCTTTGTCAAAGTTAGGCTGATCCACTACTCCAAAGAAGATCCTCACAGAGTAGTGTCCCTTTGGCACTCGGACAATGTTGTAGCAATTGTTTGGACCCTCGGAGATTGGGAAATACCGAAGTGTCTTCAGAGGAGGAGTAATATAACTAGGTGATGTAGCATTGGCAGGTATGCCTCCAGTGTATGCAATATCCTTGAACCAAAGAGCATAAGTAGGCGGGGTTCGAACATTTCTTCGAGCTCCACAACTAATCCGCAAAGCATATGGAGCTGAAAAATTGCAAGATAAAACTAAATCCTTGGTTCATGGAAAAACATTTGGATGAATGGGAATCATCAATACAGTAATGGTGACCAGATACTCAACAAATCCACAAAATGTATCTGTTCATATGATCAGAAACATGCTTCCAGAGTAAAAAAGAAAAACATTTGCTTTGATGCTCGCGCTTAAAAAACAGGTCAATGTAAGAAAAAGAAAAAAAAATCGTACATCTAGACGCAGATCAGTATGCTCCTAAATTACATGGTTTCAAGAAACAGCAATTCGTAAATCTTGAGCTATTAGTTCAAGCTCGAGCTTTCTGAATCCAATTTTTACAAAAGTATTGATCGGAAACAAGTAGTAATCCAAGTGAAATGCAAATCAAGAAGATTTCGAATCCGGAAAAATTTGAACTTTGGAAGTAAGTAAAAAGTTGCCAAAAACAAGTAAAGTGAGAGTTGTCAAAATCTGGAAGAAGAAGAAAAAAACGAACCTGGACGAGCTGAAGAAGAGGGAAGACCAAAAGAGAAAATGATGAGAAGACATGGGAGGATAAATCGAAGCATCTTCTTTGATCTTTCAAGAATCCCAAAACTTACCAGCTCCTCTGTCTGACGAATCTATCTACCAAAAAGCGTCTCATTTCGCCATTTTGCACAAAACTTGATTTGGTTCGTTTGTTTTGTTTTCCTTTTCGGTAAGACTGAGGGAAGAAAGAGAGAGAGAGAGAGAGAGAGAGAGAGAGAGAGAGCAGAGGGACGTGAGTGCAGGTAAAAAAGCTACCGGTACTGAAAAATTATATATTTAATTCTAATTAAATGCTCCCCACCTCTTTACACACAAAAAAAAAAAAACATTTTAATTTAATTTTCTTTGTTTTTATTCTTGTGGATGAAGTTATGATTATAATTAAATTAGAAGAGGAATAATCAAATGTTTTGATGTGTACACAAGTGATCATAGTCAAAAGTGTGTGTGTAATCCGACAGCTCAAAATGTGCTGTAGCGAGATCTTATTATGATGCTTTGGCAATGTCCTCCTCGTCCACAAGTTTTACATTATTATCCCATGCCTGCCTTCCCTATTTGCCTATATAGCTCTCCTTTCGCATCCTTTCTAGTTTCTAGTCTTCGGCGTTGTCTTAATTAGAAGAAGCTTTACATTGTTGATATTCAATGAGAATTCTCGAATACCAAGTCTCGTTGCATTTCATTAATTAAAGCAAACATATTTAGCTAGTTCTAGACTTTTAGTATTGGTCAATCTAGTTTTGACTCAGCAATGAGTAGAAGGTTATGAATAACTACTTGTTAATGTCCCCTAGTAACACTCCCATATACTAACTCCTAGAATTACAACGTTCCCACAAACGTCGTAACTCATAATCGTGATCACTGATCACACACACCTATATCTCCATGACTCCATCACGGGAATAGAGAAGGGTTCAAACCCAAATTCATACGTTACAAAATGTATGAAAACGAAAACATCTTTGTCGAATATTAGAATCTTTTAACTTTAACAAAACCTTTTGTATGCTAATTGCTAAATGACGAGTGATGACTAAAGAATAATGAAAAAAAATATATAAAATAAATAAAGAAAGTTACTTCCTCTCTTTCCAGTTTCCACCTTAGTTGTATGTTTTTCTTTAAAAACTGTTTATTTTCAATGATTAATTACGTTATGTTCTATGTAAACGGGACAAAATTACCAACAAAAAAACTGTGGATGAATTGCTTCATTCCACCATATCGAATCCCTTCAATTTTATTAGAATTTTATTCATATATTTTTATATGATTGTGATAGATTTACAACTAACTTATAGTTGAGAAACTAAGATTCAAATCTTTCCACAATAATTTCAATTATTATTTAGTTAGTGTAATTTTTTTAGATGGCAAAGTCCCATATATATATTTTATTAATTTTATGTGTTTCGGATAAATTTTAAATATATATATATATATATTAAGAAAATGGTGATTAAAAGATGTACCAAATTATGGATATAACCTATGGAGTATAACCTATGGATAAAAAATAAAAAATAAAAAAAAATGATGTACCAAATTATGGATATAACCTATGGAGTTTGTGGAGCGAAGACCAAAAGGAAAGGAAATAAACAAACAATGGATATGAAATTGTGGAGTCGGTGGAGGTAGTTTTTGTAGTTGTTGCAATTAATAGTAGACTTAATCAGCTCAAATCAGTGTTTTGTTGATATTTAATTTAAACATTAGTTTAGGAACATTAGTTTAAGAACGGTTTTGTTTGTAAGAATAACAACGATAAATGTTTGGTGGGAACGACAACGAAACCGTCACGTGACGAACATTCCCGGTCTCGGGGGTCACCAGAAATGCTAGTTGTTGTAACCTTTTTGACATTTTTTTAATCGGACGGCTGAGAATGGTCGTAAGCTCCGGTTAGCTTTGAGTTTTGACTTTATAACATTGATTGATGCGCAATCTTCGGTATTACACATCAAAAGCATTCCCCACTTCTTTGAGTCCCTTCCCTTCCTTTGGACCAAATCTGAAGTCGTCGTTGCCCATTCATTCATCTTTTTTTAGTATATACATATAAACTCCTTACTATAATTGAAAACATATCTTAAAAAAGTCAATGTTACTAGTGGTCTTTTTATGTAATCAAACATTTCTAAAACTGCTCTCCTTCTCCATTCTCTACAACATATCTATCACCACTAATCTAGTAGAGTAACACATATCATTATCGACTAAACCGAGATATCTACAAAAACTTCCACAAATACATAAAGGTGTGTCGAAATGAACAAAAACTGATCATAAGACAATAATAACTAATAAGAACTCACCAGTGGATTGATACTGCAAAATTTGTATGAAAGTTTTGACAACTTAGAACTTCGTAAGTTTTATTTACATGAACGCACGTGTGAAGAACGATGACGACGGACTCGAGTATAAAAGTTTAGGTTTATTCAATCAACAAAACTTAAAACAGCAAATGGGCCATTGGAAATTAGAATTATAGTTGGGCTTGGGTGTATAAGTCCATTTTCCTAGGACGTAACTGGAGAACCATAAAAGCCTGACAATCTTTTGCTTTCTATGTCAAGCACTAGCTTCAAGAGTTGAACGTTGATGTAAGCAGCATCTTGATGTTGAGCATGATGTGGTGGTAGACTCTGGATCCTCCTCTCATCTTTTCTTCATGTTGAAACTATATAATATATTAGTTTGTATAGTGGAATTATGTGTAAGATTTATTTGCATCTCTATGGGTGAAACTTGTACAGGCATGCATGTGACGGCTAGCTAGATCTGACGGCACACGTGTCTCGCTGATATCGCTATCTCTTCCCATGGTTTTGGATTTTTTTGTGTGTGAATAGTGATGATATAACTGTGTGTAAAATCTACTAAAACTGAAGAATTTTTTTTGGAGTACGAAAAAATAAGAGATGAAGATTCTTTTCTGGTTAACACTTCCGAGTATGTGAAAGTAGATATTAGAAAAAGGTATGTTTAATTAGTTTAGTTGTTTAAGCACCATCCCATATCCAAACGGGTTAGTTTGATTTGATCATGTGAAATGAATTGGTTGCATTTCAAAATATATATAAACTACAATGCAAAAACGTAACTTTACCAAATTCTTACCTTATTATTTATAATTTAGTGACAATACTAGTACAAAAAAAGTCGGACCATAAAGTCCGAACATATGTTCTGTTGTTATTATAATACACAACTCTTATTATAAGTATGATTTGATAATTACTGTAGGAAAAAAATAATAGAAATTAACGGGAATGATATATAGAGCATGTGCACTGGTGAGGTCTATCAACAAGGATAGTTGCAGTAACAAATCAATGTTCCTCGTGGGTGTGGTGGAGGACCAGGACGACAATGACCATATCCCTTATGCTTCGTGGCACACAGTTTCTCACATCTTAGGAATGAACATGTGTTATTTTTGTTACCATAACGTATAAGGCATGGTACCTTCCCTTGGACTCCTGTTCCTGTAAATATTTCAAACAGAAAACCTCAGTTTCTATATTATGAGATAGTAACAATGAAATATACATAAAACATATGTATTAGTTTTGATCCATTGATTATTCTTGAGATTTCAAGATTACATAATTCACGTAATTAACCAAAATTAAAAAAAAAAATCGTTTTGGAGATTGATTTCTAGATCTAAAACAAAAACAGTTAATTAATTAGCTTTTGGATCTGGTATCGATTTGACATTTTTAAAAATAACACATAACTCCATATATGGAATTATATAATGAAACTAATTTTACATATAATATAGTTTAGTTTATATAACGAAACTATAATGGTATTGATAATTAATTCATTTTAAACAAACATTTATGGATTTTATTAAATTAATTCCAATTAAAAAAGAAAAGAAAAGAAAAACAAACCTAATAGAAGAATGGAAATGATAAGTAGAACGGCTAACGTGAGTTGAGAGGGTTTCTTCATTTTACAAAGTATAAAATGATCTGATGATTTTTTTTTTTAATAGAAAACATGAAAGGTGTACTTATACATGCATCCCATCCCACAATTAAACATATCTAAGTTAAGCTATTAGATTCCGATTTAAATGGATTGGTTCCACGTAATAAATAGGAGAAACCCCCCAAAATAGATTTCTAAATAAAGATATCTCTATATGTATTATATATATATATATATATTAAAAATTGAATAAAGTTTTATTATTTAATTTAAACAAATCATTTAGTTATGGAATTTATTAGAACTTGAGCTATATATGTTTATTTTCAATTCAATAATTGGTTTTAAATGATCAAGTAAATTTATGTGTGTTGAGATTTAGATTTGGTATATTTTTCATAATACAATTAAGATATCTTAAATTATAATGTTTTCAATCATATATATATGTATATATATATTAACTATGTACTAAAGTAAAGTCTTATATCAAATTATGAGATGTTTAAATTTTGAAGTCTTTTTACATCAAAATGATTTTTGATATAATCCAACAAAATTTAAGATATGTATTGTGTGTGCATGGTAACCTGTGAAGTCGGTCGAGGTAGTTAATTAGCACAAAAATGTCATTTTTGTAAGAATGCTGTACCATTCCACTATCAAAAAGAGTACATGTATCTTATGTTATGTATTAGTTGTACAGGGAATGCGTAAAGATTCCGTTTGATCGTGAGATTAAAATACTATTTGATCTCTATGGTTAAAAACAGTCATATGATGGCTGCAGCTGACGGCCCACGTGTCGGTCGTAGTCGTTCTCTTTTCACTTTTGGTCCCAATCTAGGCTGTCCGTATGGAGACATCTTCCCATGCTTTTGGACATTTGTGAATAATTGATCTAGATTTGAGTACACTCTTTTTCCATATTAAGTTCCTTAAAACAAGATATTAGATTGACAGATTAGATTTAGTCTCCTCCTAGGAGCAAACCATATTCTCTACGAAAACGAGCAATGTGGAACTGAAGATCTTTAGAATTCTACATTTAATGGGACATCGGGTCATAATGAATAACCAGAAGAGAAAGTTATGTCTTTCTCTCCTTTCTTCATTGGAACATCATTCATAAGTGTTACTTTTACTCTCGTAACTCGTAAGGTAAGTTTAGAAATTGACTTATTTTTGTGAATCCTAGTGCAAGCTAAGTAACCTCCAGTTTTGCCCATTCCATAGTATGGACAATGTAACTATAGTTTTATTGGTACCCAAAATTTCTGATCATAACTAGCAAATCCCTTCAACTTCCAGTTCGTAAAGTTGTTGTTCTCTACTGTCAAACGAGTTTGTTTGATTTTGATCTTTTGAAATGAATGAGTGTGAATATGCATAAATTCTAAGAGTTGTCATGATACTTATACATTTAGGTGAAGCAGAAGTTATGTATTACTATGAATTTGACCAAGTTGATCCAATAATTAACCATATAGTTAGTATTGTGTGATAATTTCACGGATCTCGAGCCCAGGATACTTTATTTACAAGGTCCCCTTTCATGACTCATCATCCTTATCTATATCTCTGTCACCTTCCCACGTTGCACTTTGCTAATTTCCACACTCTCATCACTCCTTTGCTTTTGTCCTAAAATTATTTTCAAAATTATTATAATTTTTTTTGTTTGGAATCATCCGATTATAATATAAAGAAACTATACATTGATGTTTGAGTACAATTTTAGGATTAGTCGTTGGAAATTAACTAATAACTATTCAATAATTAAATAAAAACCAACCAGTAAAATAAAGTCACCCAAACTTTTTCATTGGCGTGGCAGTAGTGATGGAAAAAACAAAAAAAAATAAAATAATATAAACAAATAAAAAATCAAGATATTTTGATAAGGTGCTTATAAAAGTCATATACGCACCAACAATTAAAAGTGTTTCAGTACTGTCTACAAAATCATTGAAGAGCAACCAGAAAAAAAGAAAGAGAAAAGATGGTTCTGCTAGAGAAGCTTTGGGATGATGTGGTGGCTGGACCTCAGCCTGACCGTGGTCTTGGCCGTCTCCGTAAGATCACCACCCAACCCATTAATATCAAAGGTAACTTTTCCATATCATACAAAAATAAAAAAACATGTATAGCTTAAATCAGAAATTATAAATATTAATACTAGTGCGTAATTTTGTCATGATACATGGTAAGATATAGGAGAAGGGAGTAGTAGTAAGGTGATGCATAGGTCGTTGACTATGCCTTCGGCAGTGAGCCCTGGAACTCCGACAACTCCGACCACTCCAACGACGCCACGTAAGGATAACGTGTGGAGGAGCGTCTTTAATCCGGGAAGCAACCTCGCCACTAGAGCCATCGGCTCCAACATCTTCGATAAACCTACCCATCCAAATTCTCCATCCGTCTACGACTGGTATAACTACGATTCCTTTTTCATTTTTATTTCATATACAGTAGTAGTAAGTATGATTATAACTTTATAATAAGTCATTTGATCTGGCTTAAGTTTTAAGATGTTGAGTTGTGAAACAAAGAACCGGATAAATCTAGGAACGGTTATATTGGTTTAGTCCGGTTATTTGTTTTTGTTTGTTTTAACATATTACGGGATATGTATTTTGGTATGTGTCAGCGTTGATAACGAAGCTCAAAGGAAGGAACACGTGGCACTGTGTTTAGTGGGCGCGTGGATTAACTGAAAAAAAAAATTATTCTGTTTTACCAAATCAAATCAACAACCTTCCTTTTTGTGCATATGGTATATTATCACTTTTAACTCAATAAGTTTAGAGTGCTAATCACATTCACAGCCGTCGATTAAGTATTTGAGATTTACTGATCGGATGGTTCAGATCAGGACTTGATGATTTCACTAAGTGATCATCGCACTTGTGGTGTTCGCAGGTTGTACAGCGGTGAGTCAAGGAGTCAGCACCGTTAGGGTTGTTTGGTCCGGAAGGGGTAGTGTGACATGCGGGGTGATGTAATTACAGTGACCAGATCTTCTACCATGTGTCTGTTTACTTACTTTTTTCTTACCTTAGTTTTTGACTGTTTATAGTATGGTACTTTGTCAGACTTGATAGGGTTATCTTTTTTGTACAGAAAACTGTCATCTGCCTAGACAAATGCGTGTAAGCTTCTGTTTTAGGGATGTGTTTTGCAAGTTTTTTTTTTTTTTTGGTTTGTTTACGAGTTGTGTAGTTGCAAGTGGTGGTTGGATCTTTCACTGTCTCGTTGGATTTTGTCGGTGGTCTTTAATGTTGAATAAATAATATTTTGTTACTGTATATTGCCTCAGTTTACATTTTAGAAGCATCATTCGCATTTTCTCTCTCTCTTATTAATGAATAGAAATGTTATTAAAGAATAACTTCACAAAATTTAACTCACCAGAGGAGACTAGTGAGCCAAATGCTCTCATCAGGTTAGCAAAGTTTTCCCTAGCAAGTTTCTTCGACCAAAGATGGGTCAATCCATGTGATGATCACTTGCGGAGGTCGTCGAGTGACGTTGTTGTGGAAGCGGCAACCGATACACATTTTTATACTACTTATTAAGTTAACGCTACACAAAACAAATGGAGTTACATGTTGAGTTCGACCAATAGAGGTCTTTGATTTTAAGAAAATGCTAGCCATGCATTGCAGAGTCATTATATCTATCGCTACCAACGATACCATAACAACAACTTTTTTCCAAACGGCTGTTCGTGACCAAACACAAAATGGGCACAAATATTAATTTGCCCGTAAGCCGGAGCCATGAAATATTTTGTTTATTAACAATAATCTCATAAACTCGTAAACTTGATCAAAAATAATATACATAAAAAGGATCCAATCCTATATATTTTATAATATTTTTTTTCCAAAATTCCAAAACGATTGAACCAAAAAATAAAAAATAAATATAAATAGCTTAAAAACATAATCTATATTAACATTTTTGGAGAAATTTATGAAAAAAACCTTTGGGTTCAAACGTATTTACAATGGCATGCCATTAACATTAATTATTTAGTTAAATTTTTAAACTAATAATAATTATTTTTAACAAAATTCCTAAGATCTCTCTAATAAATATAATATTTTTTATTATTTTCCACATTTTCTCAAATGTTTCTCCAAAATCTTTATATGATTTTATTGGTTTTTAATTTATTTTATTACATAAAACATATTCATAATAAAAATACAAAATTTTCCGCATATATTGCAGTTTGAATTTTTTAAAACGGGCGTATATTACAAATTTTTTAACATATGTGTACAACATCCGATATCGATTTTTTGAAAATGGTTCATAACCTTTATAAATAAGATTATAACTTTCCAACTACGAATGACGGCACTATAAACATGAGTTTAATTTTCCGTCGAATATATTGATGGGACGGGTTGTAAAAAGGGAATGGTTGTTAACTACATACAGTATAAAGTTTAAAATATTTTGAACTTTATAAAAGTTTAAGTGCTATTAATATTTTAGCTCTACACAAAGTTTATCCTAAAAAATTATTGACTTTGCCAATTTTTTAAACATGGATTTATTGTTTTGGTGATTATATGACTTGACGGGGTACAAGACGGAAAATGTTGTAATATGCTTTCAACAGGTTATATGACGGGACGGATTGTAAGAAGAAACGAGTTTGAGTTGATATTACTAAAAAATTATAATATTATTAATTTCACAGTTCAATAAGGGTCATTTTACTATGTTTTTAACAACATCGATCTAAAACATGTATAATTAAACAAATTTAGTAAAGTTTGATATCATGCGATCCTGATAATTATTAAATAAACTACAACAAAATCTATAAAAAAATTAAAAATATGAATTACAAAGAAAATGTTTATTCCGCGGTATCGCGGGTCAAAATCTAGTTAGAAAAATAAAAAAACACTCGTGATCCCGTCTGTTTCTGAATTCGCGTTAGTTTGTATTAAATTTATTGCGTGTGACGATGGTCCAAATCGTAGCCGCCATTTTCCATGAATTGTGATTAGCTTATCTTCGTTACCCTTTATCCCAAATATCAAAACAGATTCAACAAAATCCGAACTTCAAAGCAATTTAATTGGTGTCTGCTACACAGAATCCAAATCCAGCTTGTTCCGATCATGGATGTCTCGAAAGTTGTCAGCTCTTCTCGGAATTTCGCCGTCTTGGTCAAAGTCGAAGGCCCTGTAAGCCCTTATCTCTCTAACCCAAACTCGTATGTTCAGATTCTATTCATCAATTTATCTAATTTACATTCCAAAAGTTTTTAATCATCATACTTGGTGTCGATGTTAGGACCCAAAGGGATTGAAGATGAGGAAACATGCTTTTCATCAGTACCAGTGAGCATAAAGATGGATTCTTTTCATTATGTTCTGTAGTTTTGTTTCTCTATTGGAACTTTAATGTGAATTAAATTTTTGTGTGTTTTGGAAGTTCTGGCAATACAACACTTTCCGCTTCTGGGATCTTGTTTCCAAGAAGTAATTTGAGCGGTGAGGTTGCGGCTAAGCCTATGTTTGAAGCTGGTCAGGACATGGCCCTGGTTTTGACTGTTGCTTCTGTTGTAGAACCATTCTTAACATTAGGCCACAGAACTACCATCTCTCAGGTTTGATACACATGCTCGAATTTGGCTTATTGATGATACTTGTTTTTTTCTTGATATGCTACTTCATTCTTGGTGTCTTCTCTTTTCTTTTGGTAAAGGATCCGGTGAAGTTTATTCCGGGTGCTCGGGTTGAGATTATGGTGGAGGTATACTGATAGTGTTTTTGAATAGTTTATGTTGAATGGTGAGTTGTTTTGAGTTTTCAGGGTATGATTTAGATGCTTACTCTTTTCAGGGTCAGCTAAATTCAGAGAAGAACGCTCCTTTTTGGGTTCCTGCGCAACTCCTTTCTCTGGTATGGGTGAAAGTACTCTCTTTTTTTAACCTTGCTTGCTATTAGTGATTCTTGATAACTCCTTGTGGGTGATGATATGTGGTATTATGTTTTCTTTCTTTCATGCATGTATTGAAAAGCATTTGAGTTTGTATGGAAATGTTGTAGCTCCCTTTTTTCCGGTTCTGATGCTACTAATATGTTACAAGGTTGATGTTCCTGTATCTTCCACTGCACTTCAATCTCTTATAGAAGCTTCTTCCGGTTCAAAAGATTCTGGATGGGATATTGGTTGGTCTTTGGTTTCTGCAACTAATGATTCTCAGACTTCAATCAATGTAAGTTAAATGCAAACCCGTAATACTCTTTCATGACTCATTGCAAGGGAAACAGTCCAATCATTTGAACTTCTACCTGTAATTGCTTTGGGTACATGATCCGTGTTTGTATAACCCTTCTATGAAATGAAAGAGATCTGTGTGCTTCTGAGATTCAATTTTCTATCATTTTTCCAGATTGGACATTACAGTAAGCCCTTGATGAAACTTGATGAGCCACTCGATGCTAAGTTCATGGCCAAGTCTGCCACTCGAATGGCTCTTCTAGGAGTCCCCTTAAGTTTACTGGTAAATATTTCCCTGATTCTCCTCTCGGTTTCCTTGGATTTGTAGTTCATACTAATGTTAATGTACCGTATACTTTATCTCTAACCATATTTTACTATTTCCCGTGATGCAATTATTTTGTGAATCAGGGTCAGCCAAAAATGAATTTTGCTTCATCAAGTAGCAAGGGTGATACACTTGTAGCACTAGGATCTCCTTTTGGAATCCTTTCACCTGTGAACTTTTTTAACAGGTAAAGAATGGCTACACTAGCGTTGCTGTATTTTAATCTAGTAGAGGTCATCATGTTTTTCATTCTCTTAATTGTGTCAGCATTTAACTCCAGGAATCTAAACTGGTTTGAAACAGCGTATCAACTGGCTCCATTGCGAATACCTATCCTTCTGGTCCCCTAAAAAAGTCACTGATGATAGCTGATATTCGATGTCTCCCTGGTATGTGCAATTATCAGTAGTTATATATGCTCCAACTGTTTCATCTTAGGAGCTAACATTTGTTCCATTCCGGTTCATTTCTTTCAGGAATGGAAGGGGCTCCGGTGTTTGATACGAACGGGCACTTAATTGGAATTTTGACTAGACCACTAAGACAAAAGAATAGTGGCGTTGAAATTCAGGTTTGTCAACGCCAACCTCATTTCCTTTTTGGCCATTGAAGTTTTATTGTAATGTTTCATGTAAAACTGTAGCCTTCGGTAGCAGCTGGTGGTTCCGTGGGGAGCAATTACAAACGCGTGCAGCCACTTGCTACTTGAGGAACCATCTAAAGAAGGAAAAGCAAGTCAGTGGGGGAGTGAAGTACCAAGTATTAAACCAGATGCTAGTATTCCTGCACAAGTGGCTATTGAGAAGGCGATGGAATCAGTTTGTCTTATTACGGTCAATGATGGTGTTTGGGCATCCGGTATTCTTCTTAATGAACATGGTCTCATACTAACAAATGCTCACCTGCTTGAGCCGTGGAGGTTTGGAAAAGGTGGTGTATATGGTGAAGGGAACGGCACTGGTTTAAAACCCTATGTCTTAGGAGCTGAGGAGTTCTCTTCCACGAGAAGTAGATTCTGGGAACAGAAGAGTCAAACCTTGCCACCAAAAGCTCCAGCACATCTTTATTCTTCTGGTGGAGAAAACATCAGGGAATACAAACACAATTTCCTTCAGTCTGGGCAAAGAGACATACGTGTACGGTTGTGTCACCAAGATTCCTGGACTTGGTGTCCTGCAAACGTGGTCTATATCTGCAAGTCACAGTTAGATGTTGCTTTACTGCAGTTAGAATATGTCCCTGGAAAGCTCCAACCAATTGCTACCAATTTTTCTTCTCCTCTTTTGGGTACAACGGCACATGTTGTTGGACATGGACTCTTCGGACCAAGATGTGGTAAAGACTTTATTAGTCCTAAAATTATCTTGGTGAACCTGATTTGTGATCAATTCGTGCTTATGTTGTGCTTCCATTAGATTTCCTAAACACCCTGAAACTACACTCTCTTGTGCGTTACTAGGCCAGGTGTCCTTAAATGGAAGAAAGAAAAACCTCTGTTCTTCCGTCATAGTTTTGTTGTCTTAATATTTTTTTTTTTTGTTACTAGGGCTTTCTCCTTCCATTTGTTCTGGAGTTGTAGCAAAGATAGTTCATGCAAAGATGAGACTGAATACGCAATCCATTTCGCAAGAGGTCACAGAGTTTCCCGCTATGCTCGAAACAACAGCTGCTGTGCATCCTGGTGGTAGTGGTGGTGCTGTTCTCAATTCAAGTGGTCATATGATT